TTTTTGCGAGAACCAAGCTGAATCTCTCGTCTGTGATGTTTTCGAGCAACTGGATGTGCTGCACCAGGCCGCCTCACGTTTCACTTGTTACGATATCCGAGATATCGCGTTACATGTATATTCGTAACGTAAAGTCTACATATCTGTTAAGTGGAACTTGCGAATTGGGCGATTCTTTGGAGCAATCCACTTTCATAGGAATCCAGACTGCGAGTGGCTTTTGATCGGCAAAAGAAATTACATTCTGGAACCCTTTGGAGCTCAGTGGAATAAAGATTAATAGTTATGGTTGAAGAGGCGGCCGATCATGTATACTGAGATCTCAGACAGCACACGGTTCGGCTCCGAACCAGAACTTTAGGATAACCTTCCAGAAGACCTTTATCAGACACAAAGTTTGAACTGCATCATTAACGTCAGGAGAACGTCGGACAAAAAACTTTTGTCCGATATGACGAAATCTGAGTCATTTGAAATGAAGCTCCGATTATGGAAGAAGCCGAACAGATTGGAAAATGTGTTGGCACATTCCATCTTTTGAAACCAAACTTTTAAAATCCAGGGCAATATGGAGACTGGAATTTTAAATTTGTATTATAAGGGGTTGTGGTGGCAAGATTTGAGTAGGGATTATTGTTCAAACGGCGGGATATGCAAATCAATGCCATGAATGCTCAAGGAGTGCTGTTACTCCTCTTTTTGGTAAAAGACATGCTCCGATTAAGTAGCCGGAGGCTTGGGGGCACTGTATCAAGATCCTGCTGTTCGATCGGTGCCATTTACTTGGTGAGCAGAACAATCTGCCTCTTAGCTGAAGATATCGTGCACAAATATCAGGGGAAGCACTCTGTCAGAAGTTGTCTCTAAGGGAGGGCAACCTACTGGTAGTACTCTATTGGTAATTCAGCAATCTGGCTTGGAAATATGATCTCGAAGATCAACCTCCGCTAATCTAGGCTTCGACGTGACCCATCCCCTACTGTATAGTGGAGACTTCTTGAATTGCATCTGTAAGACAGATAACAAAATGGGAAATAGGTGCTTACGTTACACATCATGTGTTTAATACGATGCCACGTGATGTGTTTTCAGTCACTGGAGAATGAATGACGCTCTGTCCTGTCCGAGAGAGACCTAATCACATTGCCGATCACCTGCTCATGACCAAAAAGTTCAGTGTTCAGCCATCGGCCAGAGGGTCGTCGGTTTGAAGCACTCTGAGTCTTGTGAGATCCCCGCTTCTAATGCTTCTCAGAAAGGATGAAACAGCTCCACAGTGATTCTTGGCTATTCAGCATAGGTTGGCTTCCAATGTTACCAGATTTCCTCATATCAGCATGAAGCAAACGGAAAATCATAGGGTGCTACTTAATCAAGTGTTTTGGTTCTAATGAGGGCTATCTATCATTACATATCATCCCTCAAATGAGGTCTATCGGCATATCGCTTGTTCATTTTTTTCAGAAGACCACTTTTTGACGGCTCCCCTAGTAGAATGGCTCCTTAAGAAGGACAAAATCATGTATGGTTGTTACAAGGTTGGCTAGTTATATCTCAGGAGGACAGCGCTAGGAGAAGTTTCAAANAACATATCCCCGAATGCCGAGATTGATTTGATTTGCGCCTGTTTCTTTACTTCCGATAGCTTTTGACAGTCGTTGCTTTTTAATATCCTGTGGCGTCATAATACAAATTCTGTCATGGACTATGGTTTCTCACCGTTCGTTGTTCGAGTGGCAATGCAACCGCATGAAATGGATGCATCTATAGGCGCTAGTCGGTAACAAGTCAGCCGGAAAATCAGCCTTAATTTATGGCATCTTCAGAAAGTTGTAAAGGGATCACCGTTCACTGACAAAGTAATGTTCTTCGACAGAACATCCTCTAGGAGACTCCAGAATAGTTCTAGATAAACGCCAAGTGTTATCGGGGATTCAGTAAACACAGCGTCCTGTATGATGGTTCGTCTCATCCGTTCAACGCGTTGGCTTCAATTCGTACTTCGAATAACTGTTGCGTGAATATGCAAAGCTGAAGTATCCAACAAGACAGGCAAATTCAAGTAAAAAGAGTCCAACAGAATGGTGTGTTAGTGTATCAGCTTTGCTGATGACACGAACTTACGAAGTGACAGTCAGTCAATCAATCATTTCCATCTGAGTGTCATTTCCTGGAGAATATATTCAGCTATTTGGATAAACCGCTACTTTCTTCACTGCAGTTCTTGTCCCAGAGATGAAGGTCGTTTTATTTGTGGAGGTCTCAGGGGATGGAATGCTGTCCTTCAGAAAACGACAATTCAGGCAGGCTTGTCTGCCTCTCCCTGAGGGTGAAACACTGAGGCTTGTCCATAACCTCTATAATCTGTTTTGCCATTCTTGCGCTCCTACATTTTGGTGATGAAACGCCAAAGGGATTCGAATGAATGATCGCACTATTCGACTGTTTGAATCCTAATTCATTGGATAAACTGGATAGTTCCAAAGACATACCTTGAAGGATCTGCACTAACCAGCCCTCAATGTAACAGAACAGAAATATCAAAAGACTGTTGGAGAAAGGTCGCTTCTTGTAAGCCGAACGACCAGTCCTCGCTTCATATGGAACACAGCGGGAAACTGTTCCTTTATCAAAAAGAACCTGTTCATTTTTTCACGTCTACAAGAAGGTTATTTGGATAGCAGCAAAGTTTTATTGTAGCCATTCTCAACATTAGATTCTTCACTCAGCGATGCATATTACTTTTTCACATCTGGTGGAGAATTTCGGTAGATGCTAGCCACCATGGACTCGTTTTGTGGAGTGTTCAAAATGACAATAAATTTATCAAAACTATAGTCATTCGAATACGGATAGAACATTTGCCCTGATTCCCAAGTGGTGGTTCCCCCCTACCAGGGTGCTTTAAAGAACATCTCGGGCTTCTTCTCATGTTCGAGAAAAAAGTTTTTGGTAGGCATACATAGGCAAATCAGTAATGCTGTGCCTACGGATGACATTTAATGGAGCTATCCATCGAGTTCTGTAGGTGACCATGCCACGACTGTCCTTCTACCAGCGGTATTGCTTGGACAACAAAATCCTGCTCCATTTAGCGAGTAAAGATCGCTGAAGGGAGGATGTAACGGTAGCGGTTAAATGCATTGGTGCTAAACCGACATTCCACAATGTTCTCGACCATCATCAAGTTGCTCCTCTAAAGTGTACTTTCGGAAGCGTTTTTGCCTTCTAAAAAATGTTTTGCTGCCTACATGATCCGTGCCTAACCTTGACATCATTTGCACAAGGTACGCTCCCCACTCGGTACTTGTTATGGGCCTGCTCGGAGGGGAGTTGGTTACCCCACACATCGCTATTGGCCTGCCGGCGGAGGCAAAGACCGATTTTGAGAATGTCTGTTTCCACAAAAATAGCTTCTTGGTCGATTAACAATACAGCAAAAGGAAATGAGGAAGGGAGTTTAAGCTATCCATCCTATCACTGGTCGGTTGGATACAGCAGTCTGCACACTGTTTCAGCTGATGTAAAACGAATCTTTTCCTCAGCACTGTATTGTGTAAAGGTTTTCCAAGTGTTTACTTGAGCCAACATTCGAGACAGCCAAGTATTTTTCCCTCATAAATTATGGTACACATAAGACGGGTATTGCTTATTGTCGCAGATTGTATTTGAAACCAGGTTTAAATGGGGCACGCACACTAGGAGGTTCTTGAATAGGAAGGTACGAATAGTCAACATTGTATTGCTAAACGCTCTCATTCGCTTTTTAGCTCACTAGTGAAAATCCTCCCAAAAGCCCATTCGTTTGGAGTTTCCTGAAAAACTCCCTAAAATCCAAAAACTTTTCCAGTGACCTTGATGCGAAATGCTTGTTTCAATGGACTAGTATACTTGCGTCTACTGCCAGGTGGGAACTACTACATGATCGCTTGTATTCACTGTGTGGCTAAACTGTTCAGTTGCAAAGAAATGAATTAAAAATGGTCAACCACTGGTTGCGAATACTGATGGCTTTAGAACTACCCCTTACCCTCCGTCCTAGTCCCTCGAATATGCACCGAGGGACCACCGACGCCTTCAGTTGGATGTAAATTTAGCTCGGCGTATACCGTACGTGACACGTCGGGTGCACGTCGGTGTGGTTTGATATGGAAGACAAATCGAAAACGAATGCCAGTTTTCCTTGTGAAAGTTCAACATGACTGAATTCGATAACTCCTTAGGATGTCTTGACAGATCCCGATGTACGCTGCTACCTGCTACATCAGATCATCTTCGCTGGCGACCACTACTTATCCTAATGATGTTGCTTGATGGCAAGCTTAAAATTTTCTGTTCCTTTAACATGATTTTGTTAGATTAAGTTTGCTGTATCGTTACACAAGGAGTGACATATTGTAAAACGCCAGTAAACTTTTATAAGATAGAATAAACCCTCAGTTTGGTATTTTCAAAGGAGAAGCAAGGACTGGCCTTCTAGCATGACTTGCTAAGTGGATCCTCTTCGAGTTGATATTCGCCCTTTTGAATGGCCATATCTGTTTCATTTAGGAGAAACAAACTTCGTGAGAATCAGTCAGAAATGTCCCCACAAAGATACTTATTCGGGGAGGAAAATGACTAGGAATTTTCTTCAAATATGCCGGTATTCCAGAGGAGCCTGATTCAAACGAATGCAACATTTGTCTTGGCTACAAGTCATCCTATCAAAATCGATAAACCAGTCTTAACTGAGGTAAGCTTTTTCGAGATATGACCCTGAACTATTGGTCCAGTTCTAGCTTGTATCAGTCACTACATCATCTTCACTGCATTGGCCGCGGTTGCCATAGAACAACGTACCTCAAGTGGTATATTCGACATTTACAACTCAGTTTGAGTTTAAAACCACCCCTCTCTACGATTATTAGCCATTCTGTCTTAACTTAAGTGTAACTTGTCCGTCATAGAGGAGAAATCGAGCAGATATGAAAGATTTATTTGTGCGTGTAATTACGTGTTTAATATCTACTATACTTTCCTTGGTGCGCTTTCTCATACTTGGTTGAGCGACGATGCTGATAGTCATCATATTTGTCGTTGTAGTAACCGTACTTGTCCCCACCGTCATAATATCCGTAATATTTGTCATTCGCTTTGTGGGCCTCGCGTCGCAGCTTGCCATATCGATCGTATCCCTCGTATTTGTCAGCGTATTTATCGTCTTGATATCGACCGTACTTGTCGTACTTATCGTAGGCATCGTAAGTATCATCGTATTTGTCGTAATATTTGTTGTACTTACCAATATGGTCACGTTTCACCTTAGCATAACGATCATAGGCATCATATTTCTCATCATACTGTTCGTACTTGTCACTGTGATGGTCATATCCGTAATCATATTCTTGACCATATTTACCGTATTTGTCCTCGTATTTGTCGTATTTATCCTCATATTTGTAACCGTATTTATCAGCGTATTTGTCGTATTCGTCACCATACTTGCCGTATTTGTCCCCGTATTTGTCAGAGTATTTGTAGTCGTATTCGTCACCGTATTTGCCGTATTCGTTCTCGTATTTATCGTACTTGTCGGAGTATTTGTGATCGTATTTGTCACCGTATTTACCGTGTTTCTCCTCGTATTTGTCATATTTGTCGGCATATGTGTAGCCGTATTCGTCGTCATATTTACCGTATTTGTCCCCGTACTTGTCGTACTTATCGGCGTATTTGTAGCCGTATTCGTCACCGTACTTACCGTAGTTGTCCTCGTATCCGCCGTACTTTTCCTCACCTTTGTAGGCATATAAGTCGCCATATTTGCTGTATTTGTTCTCGTACTTTCCGTCATACTCGTCATATTTGCCCTCGTACTTTTCCAACTTATCGTCATACTGATAATCGTATTTGTCACCATGGCTACCGTATTTGTCATCATGTTTGTCATATTTATCGCCATACCCGTAATCGTCATCATATTTGTCATATCCGTACTTGGGTAGTGCGACTGGGAACTTGCCATACCCTTCATCGTATTTGTCATAATTGTTGACAGGCTTCGAATATCCACTGCTTCCATATCGTTTTTCATCACTGTACTTGTCATGTGAGACAACTTGGACCAAGTGAGGAAGATGTTGAACTTCCTGAGTTATTTCCCGTTGCCTGTCTATTCGCTTCTCGTATCGAATTGCGTGTTTCTTCTGATACTGACTGTCCCCAGTTCTTTCAACTTTCGGTGGGGTCTTCTCTTCTTTTTTCTCCCCATATCCACCGTAGGTGCCCAAATCGTAGCTGCTTTCGTAACCATATTCATAATCATCATCATCGTCATAGTCATATCCGTACTTGGTGAATTGGTGCTCACGTTTTTCGTTTTCTGTATCAATTTTGCTAGCCTCCTTCAGGTGAACTAGTGACTCCTTCTCAGTTTCTTGGCGTTTCTCCGTCTTGGGAGATGGCTTCAACTCATAGTGGAAGGCGTACTTTGGTTTTAGCGGTACGCTAAGTACTAACCCAACGAGGAGACAAGCTGATGTGCAGAACAGAAGGGCCCTCATTTCTGATCTTAAGTTCACTATGTACTAGTGACTCAGTGCAACTTAAATAGCCAGTTATCTGATGAGCAACGAAAATGGCTGGGAATCAATGATCACCGTCGTTGCACTGATGTGCTGGGTAGGGTTGGTTTTTGCAAAGTCAATTTCATGCGCATTAATTAAATCAGTCGATAATCACGTCAGTCGGATGATTCTCCGATTATCGACAGTCTCGTTAAGACAACAGCGATGTTCCATGTAGTTGAAATCGTGACCACAGAATTTATAAATATCTCAAGTGGCTATCAGTGAGTGCTCGAGAACAGATTTACTTATTGAAGAACTTTCTGTCAAGACTGTGATGAGTCCATTTACAGAAATTCACCCCATAGCATACTTCCTTTTATCAAGTACCAAATGAATCATATTTATATGTATGGATCATATATATATGTAGCGTTGTGAGAAAAACTACCTAGATTTACACTTTATCCTCTGGTTTGCTACAAGTTTTATTCGCACTAAGTAATGTCGAAGGCTGGCCAACCGCTCAGTTATATCTGACTGTCCACCGTTAATGGAAAGACATCGAAATCACTCCATCACATTTTGCGTTGATCAGATTCATCGTTTTCTCAACTTGCTTAATTCTTGGATTTGTTTTGGTCAAACAGAGAAACTACTTAGCTCAATCCATGAATGTCACACTGGTTGGGAGTGCAAGTGAACCTGAATCCACACTGTATCGTAATGTCCTTTTAGGGCTTTCCTGTATAGCCGGTGGTGAGCAGGTAACAGGAAGTTCACGAAGCGAAAACCTAGCCTACAAGTTATCACTTTGCCAACAGTAAAAGTATTTTCCTAAGTTTGACTACGAGCCTGCACTTATGGTGATTGACTGACATTTTAAACGGTTTCGTCGGTCAGTAACGGTTTATTCACTGGACGCTTTCGTATAGTAGGCAGAAAACAGAGGGCTTGCGCGAAGCCGACCATGGTTCGATGCTGGTATAAACCCGAGAGAATGAGATTGGTGGACAAACATGCAGAAGCCTATTGAGAGCCATTGGCCTACGCACGATGGCATGACATTTTCCATCACCATACTTTCTGATGAACGTCTATTGCCGGACGAGTTGGGTGGGCATGTGTAGCCAGGCAGCAAACTGGCAACCGGACTACTACTAACGCTTTCATCTTGTAGCATGATGGTAGCACCAGACAGTTGTTGATTGGCTGTTGTTGGCTGGAAAAAGGATAACCTCACCTGGATGATTCAATGAAGCTTCCGCGGTGGTCTAGTTTGGGTACACTGATGAAATGTATGTCCGATTTTGCTTGGGCAGGCACGTTCGTTAGTTGCACAGATCCAGGGGGCTGTGAGTGTGTTCGACATTGATACGTTCATCTTCGGGCATGAGACGTTTTGTGTCAAAATGTTCTTATTTTTCTTGTTTGTCCGGCCACAGTGTCAAGTATGGGGTTTTTCCAAGTTTCTGAACCGAGGTGATAGTTTTTGTAGTCAGGATATTTTGCCGCCTACGAGCTTGACCTCTATTTTTTGAATAACTGATATACAGGGGCTCATCCAACGTTGCATCAAGATGAACTGGAGTCCGTTGGTCTTGTCTCTTAAGTACCATGCGCAAGAAACGTAATTGTGCCGTCGGTAAAGTGTATATGATTCTTTACCTCAAGGCAGTGAGAACCGCATGAAAGCTCCCTGTCGAATGCACATGAGGCTCATCGTAAACTGTACTGTGCCGTACTGTGCCAGGGTGTTCAGTGGCGCTTTTGATGTGACAGGCCAGTGCACAAACAAAGTCCTAACCTTGGTACAAATCCACTCAAATTGTCATACAACTTCTAATGGCTTGGAGGATGTTTCAACACCTGTTATCAAAACATAGGCTTGTTATCATCAGAAAATCAGTCTAGGACAAGACTGACCAATGGTCATCACTACAGTAGATACCGTGCTACCGTATGAGTGGATGCCGGGCTGTTAGCGTCAGGAACCCCTAAAGAATGGCACCAACTCGTCGTTGTCCAGAAGATATTGTTTTCTTCTGAGGTGGGGGCAAAGTATGTGTGCCGGAAAAATAGAGGGAATAAACTCACGTCACGTGAGCCCAGTGAGAACGTCCTGCTAACATTGCTGGCTGGAACAATTTCTGTGCATGCCCAAATGTTGATAACCTTGTCAACACTGTCCGTAAGCTAAACTAGCAGTGCTCAGGTGCAGGCTGCAGGGGCCTGCGATGCGCGACATCACTGAATATGACTCATCATCCAGTTAAATGAGTGGGCGAGTAGGTCACATACTACAAATCTTACTACAACTCAGTGTGGAAAATTAGAGTACGTTGGATTTCATGTCTAACTCTAGCGAGGATGACGTCCACAAGAGGCGGACCTAAACAAGATCCCGTCGCAACGCTGTCCATCTACAAGTAAGACAGACTGCTGAAAGTACAATTCGAAACTAATCATTCATAATTCAAAACTGGGATAAATCGGATGTTGTTGATTTTCAGGTGTATATACATATTCAACTGCTTGAAATAAGGACTTTTGTGCAAAAAGATACCACATCAAAAAAGGTTTCGCTCACGTCGTTCAAGGTGGAAAAAGTTACAAAATTTTCCCCCCTGAAGTTGACGTGAAGAGAATGCTGAACAGAGTGAAGCAGCCAGGTGGTCACCGGTTGGAGAATAAGGAAGAAAATTATCCAGTTCAGATGGGAAGAAAACGCTGGGTTTTTGCATTTTTGACAAACCGTATGAACATTGCGGGTGCATTTTGAACGATTCTGTCGAAAGTGTCTTTGACGTGGAATTGCGCTGCCTGTTATCCATCAAATTCAAAGGCGGTTGCCTAAAATCAATATTGTTACATAGATTCAGTGATCTTGCTAAAAAAAGACTGTATCTCCGAGTTGCAACCACACTTACCGTGAATCCAGGGTGCTCAGTTGACTGTCCTTGAGAAAGACTGATTTTGAGCTCAGACGACATTTCTGCCGTGGATGTTCCATGACCTTCGTCAGGATATTACTATGCAGATGCTTGGATTCCCGGCACAACTGTTCACAGTGAACATGAGTGAGCGCTTTCAGACATCGTAGTCAACACTAGTTTGGAATTAAAGGGAACGCTGTCCAGCTAGATTTAATCACACCTACTCACTGAGCAGAAATACGTTGATCAGAGATGAAGCCTCTGGTTGTAAATGGTTTAACTGAACAATGTACGTTTTGTACGCGCACCACCGAGTTTTGTGAAGCCTTATAATCCCATCTGGACTGTTTATTTACGGTGCCTTTTCAACAAAAATAGCCCACTGGAACTTGTCAAAGTGGTCCTACCTTAGATGGACTATTTTATTCAGGGGTATCCTCCAAAGCCTTGGTTTCACATGACAGCGCAAGTAAACCCGGGTCAAATATTATTTTTATGTATTACATGGTGCATAATTGGAAATTTGATATCACGTTTGATGCAGTATGTCCGTTACGAAGAGATTAGAAAATCTGTGCTTCTCCTTGCCTCAGTGGGCAGTGCTGGAGTTGCCTCACACAGTCCGATTTTTAAGGCCAGTCAATCCACAGAAGTAGCTTCAATAGAGCATCTTCATCCTTCATTTTGGGGATAAGAACGTCCATTGACACGTTCATTAAAATTCGCACTACTCGCTTATCGTTGGCATTCGGTCAGTATTTTGAATCCAAGGTTTTTGGCTGAAGGTTCCAAACATTAGTCCAAAGCTGTGTCTTCTTACACACACGCAAATAAAATTACTTAGACCACATCGCCAGGTACGCTGTGCCCTTAGTCTGTTCTCCTTACCGGCTGCATACAGCAGGGAAAGCAAACGAGTCCGGGCTGTTGCTAACACTGCCAATTGCTTCACTTGTCGGTCAGCACTATGTGGGTCTCAGCACATCAGGCCTTCATCCAAAGAAATGACAAATAGCAAACCTCTGCCATGTCTACCGCTTCCCTTCTACTTTGCAAATTTTATTCCACTGCTTTTTATTGCATCTTTTAGCCCTAAAGCAAACTGATCAACAATGTGCTCCGTATGGACAGCTTTTTCAAGTTGGAATACAAGGGCCAGTTTTGGTAACGTAGTCCAGACTACCTACCTTCGTTGCTTAGGCGCTACCACCTACGAGCTTCAGACAATCCCACATCTGCACTGAGTTACGCCGGCGTTGGCGTGGCTCTTGGCCTCGAGGTGAAGCTTTCTTGCCTGACTGGATCCCATGAGGACAGCTTTATCTCCATGCATTCATCAGATTCGGTAAGAACAAGCGCTGGCCAAAATAAGATCTGTTCTGTCTCTGTAGCCACTATATATTTACCACCAACTGTAGATCCGATTCGACGAAAGACGATTTTCATTGGACCAGGGCACGTTTTCACCCAACACGTGGGGTCCTGACATCATCGTATTCACCGGCGACCTCAGTGCACTGTTAGAGTGTCTCAGTTAATCGAAGAGGCAAACTGATGGCCTCTTCAGCTTGGAAGCAGATATAATGACAATGATGATTGTATAGCTTGTACTGGTCAAAATGTTCTCTTCTCAGATGAAGTAGACACCATGATGTCCTGTGGTTGATGAACAAATATTGTACCAGACTTACCACAGAGCTATCAGCAGTCGATAGAGGGGTTTATTTCCTGACTGTCAACCTTTCTGGGCCAGTCACGTCGATCCCTTCCGTCGGTAGAAGTTTTTGATGGACTTTCCCGGCGGATCTAACAGGCAAACTCCTCGTTTGACTATCGAAGAAAATTAACCAGTCCTATAGGAAGCATTGAAAACCGATTAATAGCAAGGTGTCAGTCGTAAATGGGAAGAGCTAAGCAACGCCATTCATATGGTAACAATCCTGGCAAGTAATGCACCTGAGGGCCCACCAACTAAGCACTGAACTTCCGTCACTGCTACTTCTCGATACCAGACTTTATATGCCCTCGGACATCAAGCGTGATTCTGCCAGAAATTGAGGAGCGCACCAGGTTAGGCTAAAGATATTATATTGAAAACCAGCCAGCGTCTTGAACACTTGGTTTTCTATTAAAGTATATTTACTGATACGTTTTCCAAATGAACTGGTCAAATAGAGCCGTGTATTTAGACACTCTCTTGGTATCTGAAGCAACGATATACCGTTCTTCTCGAAGTACGATTATACTGAAAGTTTCCATCAGCTTTACTCAAAGATTGTGGTGAGTCTTCGTGTTCTGCCTTGATCAGCTTAAGCCTAAATGCGTCCTGATGAATTAGTGACAATCGGTCATTCGAACTTCGCTCAATATATTTCTCCAAAGTGACTTCCTAATCCTTAGAGGCATACGACTCACTTTTAGCTTCAATAATGTTGTGGCTGCCGTCTGACTCTACCACGACTGATGCATCTCCGAGAGCACTGGGGAGGATTCGGACTAATTATTGAGTGCACGACCACAGATTCACCTTACGTCAAGTGCTTTAGGGACGGCACTCACTCCGCCGACCTACTGAATCGGTTTTCAATGACTTCAAAGAAGTCATCGACCCGTAGATAAGATGGTTTTTCGGTAAAAACTTGTCTAAAGAGGACTGGCCTGAAGGTTTATGAATGTCTCCTTGTTCCTATTTATTCCCATGTCCTTGTTACACACTGCGTTTCCAATCAACTGCAAAAAGGTTACCCTACTGCTGGCAGATCTCTCCAGGGTTGTCCCCTATCCGCATTTTTGTTCGAGTCTGGCAGTTATGAGGTCATGGACTGCATTTTTTCAGGGAAAGTAAATCTGCCTGTCGAAGTCACATATGAATGTAGATTGTTAGGCATAAATTAGATGGATAGCGTTTTTTGCAAAGCCCTAAATCAATGTTTCTCACTTCATAATCTTGTTGGAACTTAAGGATGAAGAACTTGGTTTAATTGATAGGCTTAATCTTCTTGGCAGCTGCGTAGGCCATGATGCGTTATAAGAGATAAATTTGATAGACACATCATCAGTGCATGAGCGATACTCACCAAATGGCGGCATCTCTGCCGTCAGCAGGTTGAAATGTAGCGACTAAAAAACCACTGTAAAAGTTTTCAATTTCTGGTCGAGACGATTTGTTTGAAGGTTAAAAACGCCACCGTAACAAAACCTTGTCAACGAAAGGTTTGCAGTGGATACGAGATTATTTAGTTACGTGAAATGAATGTGATCTCTATTACGTTTGATGCTGTAACATTTTTCCACCTTCTTGGATAGGGGCCATGAAACTTCCTGTGTTTGGCTACAAACCCTACAGGACAGCGCGCAACCGGTCCTAATGTCTGCCTTGTTGTCGCCTAATAACCGGACTGTCTGTCTGACGCCTGTCTGTCGTTGTTTTTGTTTGTTTTGTTTGTTTTGTTTTGGGTGAAGTTCACACAGGGCGTTAATTCAGCACCTGCTGATGGCGCGGGGGCGCTTCGTGGCTTTACTAGGTGTAGGTACTCTACTCTTGACCGTGTCCTCTTTGAACATGGCGCTTTCTAGCCTTCATCCCATTTTGCTGATGGGGCCTTCTCGAATCTTCTTTTGTTTGGGCCTTCTTCCTCTATGGGTGTGTTGCGACCAAACAACAGTTTCCACCACTGATGTGTTGCTGTTGAGGCGAGAGCGCAGTACACATAATATTTTTCAATACCCCATTTGAAGTCTTATTCGGACACAGTGGGCGAAAAACATAGTTCAGCGTCGAGACAGTTCAGTGGTTAAGAAGTTAGCTTACAGACCGGAGGGTCCGTAGTTCCACCCCAACAGCAGTATTTCGACTGCTCCTGTCGAGGCTTGGGCAACCTAGCTGTATCCCAGCCCTCGTGTCTCCTTCGGTTGGCATGGCAGCTGGGCACCATAAGGGTGCTAGCGCTCAGCGCGTTAAACATGGTATACCACTATGGACCATGAAGTCCAATGGGTTTGCGGAACCACATTAGTTGAAGTGGGTACCCTGCGACTTTCCTTATGGTCCCCAAATAAACATTACTTTACTTATCGTGTACTGTTCCATTATCTTTTGGCTGTTTAATTGGTCATTCTCGAACCTATGTGTGCACTAAGAACGTGCCTACAATGATATCAGGTTCCTAATGTAACGATACTACCTAGATGACATTCCAGCAATAGGGGAGATAATGTCACGCCATCATCACAACCAGCGTTTCAACCGGGTTGAACCTAGCCTGAAATGTCACCAAGGAGTTTTTTTCATGGTAGCATCTTTAGAATGATCGATTTCCATATACCTTGAAAAGCCTACCTGATAATTATTTTTAAAGCGGAGTTCCTAGTTTCGGTGAAGCACGATTACATAGTACTCGTCTACAGTGAACTTTATTTGAAAAATGTAAACTACTCTGCATTCTGTTTCACGACAACCAACTGTTCATCTTACAACGAGGTTTAAAGGTTGGAGAAGTGAGACTGGCAGGGAAATAACCTCAGAAAACTGGAGGTGAAAGGCTCAGTGGTTAGGGCGAGCTCAACAGTGTACCTTGTCGTTTCTTCGACCGATCCCTCATTTCAAACGGAGCGGTCGACTTTTCATGCGAATATTTGATGGGCGGTGCTGTCCAATTAGTCATTCATGCGGTTAATGCGATACTCATCTGCAAACCTGCTTTGACGACCGCTGTCTAGGGATAGCTCCCGCTCCATGCGTACAATAAATATTTTGCCAAAGAAACCAGTGTCAGCACCTTGTAGTTGTAACAAACTGTCTGACGATTAGTCGATTCACCCAAAGGTGTTCGCACTCTAGCAGGTTCCCGCAACGATGCACTTGGTACACACGTCAAAACTCAACGTCTGTTAAGCCACTTCAGCTCATTCTTCAAATGTAACCAACTTTGAACAGTTTCGCTTGGTTTAGCACATGTGTCGAAATTCATTACTATTTTGAGCACTAGTGAATGGGCAGACAAATGTTCTTGACTTTGGACAGTCTTGACGGAAGACTGCGGGCCGTGTATTTTGCGTCTTTTTTAATGACTGAACAGTTCTACCTATAGGTAATCATGTTTGTACTGGTTTTCTGATATGAACACCCGCTTGCCAACTGGGGGAGATGTCCAGAAACGTTCGACAAACTAGAGATTATCCGTTATAAAGTAAGACTGCCTAAATTTTATGCTAGCCTGCAATGCGGAGCCAACCTGTGCTGAGAAGCCAGGAAATAATCAACGGCTACTGGGTCCTTTTTGGTATTCACCAGCTCGCAAGCCATCTGAATCTTGAGGGGTAGATCCGAGTCATCTGTCCTTCAGAAACTACCTGAATACTATTTATTAGCCACATATGATTGGTCAAAACTACGGTTAATACTATTAAGATGGGTATGGAGTCACGCATCCGTCGACCATCTAGGCGAGTTAGTTTAAATGGGCTGCTGCTCTTTCTGTATGAAGGCCTGTGTAACCTGTGGACCGAAATGACTCTCAGCCTTTATTCTGACTAATTAAGCCATACATCTTTTGCATAAACTGCGTCGGTTTTCTCTCTATTCGATAATCTCCTATCAGATCAATGTAGGTCATCTGTAGGTTGACATCAATGTTTTTGCCTCTGTTGTCCAACAAGGCCTGAGAAAACAAAAACAAAAGTGAAAACAATGTTATGAGGCATGTTTCTTGGGGTTTGATGCAGGGTCAATCATGTCAGAGATTTTCCGCTATGCGTTGAAATTTATTTCACGAGTGAATTGTTGTGCTGTGAGGGACAGACACCCTGATGTGGTATGTGGATAATGGTGCCTGCGAATCTCCCGTTGTAATGGCTATCCAACTGAGGGCGAGTTCAAGCAGCGTTTTTAAGTTTCATCCATTGAGCCACTTCAGTCGGTGTAGAATGGAGTAGAAACACCTCAGTACGCTGTTAAATCAAGTTCACTGCCGCCAAAATATGTTGTTTTAAAGGCCACCTCAAAACAAAATCGAATTTTTTGGAAAACACCTGACTGGGCATTTCGATAAACTATGAGAGGAGAAAAACTGGACTTTTATTCATCTGAAATCCATAGAACGACATATACCTAGTGCTTTCCAATTAAATTGCAGGAAATTTGGTGATTCCTTTCTGGAGATTACTGCGGGACTTATCAGAATCGCTCCCCAGTTTGAGGAATTTTACCCTGTTGACTTCAAATAAGTATAAAGTGCTCTCCAATATGCACAGGATCTTTTAGTTCACTATTCAACCGTTGCTGAAACTTAGTCGCTAATTTTGCCTGCATTGTGAATGACTTCTACCCATTTCGTGTTCCTGTTAGATTCTTCAACGATGAGTTCCCTGTTGTGTCCACCCACCTTAGCTTCACTGCTGAGTATTCAGACTTGTAACAGTCATCCTCAAGCAAAACCAGTTGATTTAGACGAAACTCAGGAGAGAACATTTCACAGATTCCTCGCTAAATTTGTCCTATTTCGCACATATGGTACCAAACAGATCTGCCATGTGATATTTCACCCTTGGTCGGCTGAGTGGCGTTCAACATGAGTTGTTAGGCTATAAAAGCCTTTGTGAGTAAATACTGCCCAATAAAACGCTGAACTGCGCTGGCAAATGATACTTCCCGGTTGCCCAGGCCGAGGAAGGGGGTTTGGTCGAGGTACCCCACCTTGAGCCTCTGACTCAAAAGCCTGACCCACGAGGCAGTGGGAGAGTGTGGGGTTTTGTTCAGGGCCCCTGCCCGGAGCCGACACCTCAACAGTCTGACCTGCTCGGCTGCAGGGGGTTGGCCTAACCCGAGGGCGTAGGGAATAAGCGTTACTCTCTTTTGAGCAGCACCGGGCTCTTTGTTTTTATAAGTATTTCGACCGTAATGGATAATGCACCGGCGGTCACGGTCAACCGTTGGGCGATCGGAGTGTGGGGTTTTTGGCCCCGACCTTTTCTGACCCGTCCTTCCTCGGGGAAAGGCAGCATCGCGGCTTCAATAAATATGGACATGCTGGTCGCCTGGGGGAAGCACCTTACTGCCTTCAGACGGCTGTCGCAGAGGGCAGTACGACTTTACCTCCAGACCGCCTCATACCACGCTGCTCTTGGTCTGGCTGCTCCCCTTTGGCCTTCCTGGCATGGTTGTCCCTTTGGGACGAAGTCCCAGCCAGTGTACCCCGCGGGATCGTTGCAGCACTCAAGTCCGACCACCACGTCAAGGAGGCAGCGTTAGGTCGGGTTGGACTACTAGACACACAACCGAGCTCTCACGAAGGGGCAAGATCTGCAGTACTTGAAAGCCAACAGGGCCGACTAGAAATACTGGGCTGACCACCTCACGCTTATGCTCTATTTTGGATTTTTACGATCAGTTTTATTTGACACGCGTTGCGCAAGAAGTACGAAAAATGAGTTGGATTTGGAATTAATGTTATAAAATTTTCCTGCTGTGAATATACCTAATGCTCCATACTCGGTAGCTACAACTAGATAGTGTACTCTCCGACTCAAGAAACACCTTCGAAATAAGTCAAAACAGTTTCTCAATGTAGCTGATTCTTCCTAGGAGAAGTTACTACCAAGAACTGCATCGTCTCTCTCTATGGTGAGATAGGGCGATTCATGTTGTACAGCCATGTAAAGTAGGAGCTTGCTTCAGATGGACTGAATACCCTAGATATTTATTGCGGTGACCGACGTAGCAGCTTGAGTTCCACAAAGCTAAACCTAGTTCGGAACAACAACACTAGTTTCCAACACGAAATACATCAGAATATGACAGACCAGTCATCAGGTTTTGCACATCGCCGACTTGTTCTATGTTAGAGCCATGTTATCTGGAAATCGTGGTGCAACGGTTACATGTTCTGACTGTTGGTACCATGTGAGCATCGTAGAAAAATACATCCAACCAAGAAGCACTCGCGGCTGGATTTGGTGTATCGATCGTGCAAGCAAGGTTTTAGAGCATCTGTTTTAGGGCGTTTCCACCTAATGAGTAAATCCTACACCCGAGAAACTGGAAAGTGTTCGGGAATTCGTTTTAGTTGATTGCAATAAAGGAAGCTTTCCACTCTGCCAACTCAATCTCTCCTACCATAACCTCGACGTTCCCTCTACATATTTCCCCTTCTAGGGCAGTGTGTAGGGTGATTCATCGCATGACTGTTGACAAATTCTGAAATTCATTCGATGATCAGAGTATTTTACTCAAACGGTCATCAAATCCAGGAAATGATTTACTGATCACAGAACCCTGGAATGGAATGATATGGTTGAATCCCACCAAATGTGACTGCTTTGTACTATGACTCATCAGGAGAGGTTGTACTGTACTCCTAAATATTTAGCTGTGAGTTGTCTTTCGTTGCCTTCCGCACTCCAGTTCGTATAAGAGTATGCTCATTTATGGGGCTCAAGAGGCCTCTGCACTAACCAACATCAAGCTCTCCATGAGTGAAAGTGGGCACATTCAGGTTTTATACTGTTAGCCCTAGCATGATTAAGTGGACTCACACCGCTTTTGTGGGCAGCGCGCAACAGCTGCACTGGTTCCCAAAACAAACGCCACTCGTGGGACTTAGTCAGCCCAAAATCTACCCGGGGAAAGACGCTTATTTGGCGGATCACCCAAATAAGTAGCTACGTGTGACCGAGATACGAACGCTGAGCAAATCGTTCAGTTTTTATTAATCGAACGATATCTTGTTATGCCGCACATAGCATACAGCCAACAGGTAATTGATCTGAGGGTTGTTGATCTGTTCGCCGAGCTAGGCGATTGACTTGCAGATGTTTCGTCATCATTCAAGGAGGATTCTTCAGTGAATTTTCGTGTTCAAGTAGAACATAAGGTTGACGGGAACTCGGGAACAGCGTCTACCTGATCAGCTCCAAGAAGGGTAAAACCGGTCCTGAGCTGCCGAACAGTTTTCAGCAACCTTATGAGTAGTTTCATTAATGAAAATACACTGCGATATCTCTAATATCGTACCAACTGAAACATGAGATGGCCTGTGCGCGGCAAATTTATTTGAGGAACGTAAACGCGAGATTCAGCTGAATCTCTCATGAAGTCCAAATTGATTTGGAAATTAGTGTATTTGTCGAAATCAGTCCTATTTGGGTTCAAGTATAACATACGGTTCACGGGATCTCGGGGCCGCACCTATCTAATGAGCCTTAAGCGATGCCAGACTGGTCGTAGACTGTCAAGGGGTTTTCAGCAACATTATGAATAGTATTCCGTCGGGAACACAATGGATACTTGAAAGTTTGTAGACATCAATACAAAAGTCAAGCGCGATCGATTCATCCCAAGCAACATGACCCAAGAAGCACGCAAATAGGTCATAAAGAATGAGATTTACTTTTCTGTGATGATAAAATCTCGCTTATGGTTTCATTTCTTCAAGTAGCGCTCGGATTTTTGACTTGAGGATAGTATAGATCATTCTGCTAACAGTATCTCTGTGATTGAAAGCCCTGTTCTAATCATTTTTTTATCGATCCGCTCTTGACCTGAGTTACAGATTCTCGTTAGTGTTTCATGGCAGTGTGCTCATCAAGGATAGACGATCGTTTAAAATAGCACCTCTGACCTCGATGTTCAGGAAAACAGGAATACCTAAGGTTGATGGAAACTCGGGGACTTCACCTATTTGATGAGTGCCCAGAGAGGAGAAACCGGTCATGAGGTTTTCAGCAATCTTGTGAGTAGTTTTGTTTCCGAGAAATGTTGGCAGGTTCCCAGCCCGTTTACAATCCGATCAACCACTATGAAGTGAGGGTACCCTCACGCTTCCTGACAAACCCAAGAGAGAAAAACCACACACTTGATATAGGAACCTTTTAATCAATGAAGGGAGTACAGGTAGGATATATCTACACACCATGAGTAAATGCTTTAGGGAATAAGACTGTTGTACAGTAAAAGTGAGAAAGTACCAAGGACGCACTGGTGTGCTTTCCGACTGACATCTTATAAACCACATCGACAGTGGAGCAACCCAATATGCTTTTTGAATTCGAAAATTTATCAAAAAAGGCCACCAATATCCACAACCTTTTGCAATCATGTGGAATATATGGAAGCACGGGTTAGCCTGTGAGTTCAAGTTGCGGATTTAATACTCATTGTATCACTGAACTAAGCATGAAATTCGCATGCTTAAAAAGTATCAACATAGTCAGGTATTATTACTGGCACATGTCTGGAAAGTTCCGAAATTTCCACATTCTCCTGATCCCATTATCTGTTTTGTTTTGCCAAAATGGTAACTGGGTTAACCACTATCAGATAAAGATGCGAAATTCTCTGCATTCAAAAGGGCAGCATGTGTACACAAGATTTGGCGTTGCCCCAAACGGAGCGATAGCCCGACCATGATCAAAAAATACTTTTGGATTGATCAACACGTGAAATTAATTTTGTGGATTATAACATTATAGCCACCGAACTGACCGATGAAAGAGGTGCCAAAAAACGCTTCATTCCTCGAAACGACGTTGAAAGCGTTTGGGCTCGTAACACTGTCAGTAACAAGACAGTTGGCTGAACAGGCTTCCTGTTGGAATTCTCATTGGGATACTGATTGTTGTTCATAATTTCCTTACAGTATGACTTGTTTGCAGATCAACGGGAAAGTTCGGATGTTCAAATCAGACTAACAGTTGCTAACTCATAGGTATCAAAGATCACAGACCTGACTATCCAGAAAGCAGCAGTGGTCCGCAAACCTACTGTCCTTAGACCGTTATATTTTCCCCGGACTCATACTTCTCGTATTTTTTATTCTAACTTTTCAACTGTTCCCAGGTACTTCCGTTTGGTTTTATTATAATGAAACACATAAAATTTTTCCAGATAAACTACTGGTTAACCTACCACAACACTGAAGACGAGCAAATTTCATTCCAATTTGCTCAAATGTTTCAAAATGTCCCGTCCATTTCACAAGTGTACATTGTGAAATCACCTGTAATAGAATATACACAAGTTGGTTATATCAATCTCTCTCTCTCACATACAATAAGCCTGAATGTTTCTACATATCTGCCAGCAACTTACTTCGTAAGTGAACCCAGCGCAATTCCTGTTCAACAGACATGTTTCCCGACACTTTTCTAAAGTGTCCTTTCGAATGAATGGTGGGAGCCTGGGGCTGGTATCGTTTTGAGTTACAAAACGAAAATAGCTGCCAGAACAGTTCGCTGCAAATAGGTGGTTCGATAAGAATTCGCACTCCGATTGTTTATCTTCTTGATCGGACCAGACAATACGGGCGGTCAGCTGGAGCCATACGACCATGAAATACATCTTCCATGACATTTATCTCCGTTTGGTGGAGGATGAGCTTCGCAGCGCTTATTTAAACCAGTTCAGCTTATCCGATTGGCTGGTCTCAATTGTTCCGTCTCAAATGGCTGAAGAATTCTAACAATCGTGTCATCGATTAAGTACCATTGGACAGAAAAAAATTGTAGTCGGTGAGGCAAGAAAGAACTATTTCAAGCTGATGTGCTTTGGTCCTACTATTCACTTGCAACTAAATTAGTGATTTATGTAAAAATCCCTAACAAGAAAGGATTTTATGCGTAAAACAGAAAAATCATGGCACCGTTTCTGAATGCAATGTTTTGTTTGATATCTCACCCATGGTGACATGCGCAGAAACGAATATAATAAAAGAAGTAAGGTCACACACGAACATGACTTATTCCGTAAGTCACACACAGGGGGACAGCCAAACTGGAGCATGAAACCGCATGAATGATGGAACTACGAATTCTGTTAGTATTCGCAGATGTCCCCTGTACTCATGAGTAAGTTTCTAGAACCTGTACTAACAAAACAGTAATGCAGCGGTCTCTGCTTTACAAGCCACTTCTTCACATAACAGAACAAGTTCTAAGCATTGATCCGTTACACAATGACCTGATCTAGTCTCATTGTATGTTTAAGCCAAAACCGCCGCTTTGGCGCATACTATCCCAAATATTGATAATTTTTTACGCCAAACTAAGTGCTCAATGACATTCAAGTTCGATCGATCTCGTCACTTGAATTTGCTTTCAACCCTGACTAAATGATGCACTTAAGATCACCTACACTGCTCCCTGTGAAAGTCTAAGTACAACGGCACGTTTTATGTCAGTTCTGATACCCTCATGGATATTCCGATAGAATAACACGTGCGTTTAGGGCCGCAAAAATTCGCGTGCCAAATACCTGTATGCGAGGACCAACCCACCAAACTAGTTCTCCGGTAAAAGCAGGAGTAGCTTGGGTTCTTAGAAGAACAAAGCTCACTGGTTTGGAGAGTGCACTACTTGTCGAGGAGTAGTTTTACTGAGCTTGAAATACTCTACGTGTTCTTCGCCTTCCAAGTATGCTAACAGAATGAATTTTCAGACTGATACTGAAGTCGAAAGTAAGGTGACATCGGGATGGCTTTGAATTTAAACTGACCTAAATGTACGCTTTCTGAGTACGTTTTTAGCCAGAACCAAACCATATAACTTGCTACAAAAAATCTGTACATAAATTTAGTTGTTCCAAAGGTCAATAAATAAACATCTCTGATAGAATGACACGACTTTACTGGGTTACTAGGGGAAATGCGTGTGTATGTTGGTATTTCAGCCAGTGTAATGCGGCGTTAGTAAAGATGAATGACCTGAAAACCTTGGGAGTATATATATCCACCTCATCTAATTCCCGGAGCAAGCAATTGCCAGATGTTTTAGATGGGTTGCGTAAAGATGTTCGTTTTTAGGATACTGGTAAGAGCTCCTTACTTCTTAATATGTTTTAGAGTGAGGCATCTGGCTTGCTATCTGTTTGAATGCCTTGCACAAACTCTGGTCCTACGTGGCCTATGGCGTAGTTAGGTTGGTTCTAAGATCTTGCCACAAGTCCGCAACACTTGCAACACGTGATGTAAGATACCTCTATATGCTAAATTTTACTGGTCCTTCCTTATAAGCCACGACTTTATTGCTTCGTCTAATTACTTTTCGGAACCTCGGGTGACGCGGTATCCATAATAAATGTCGCTCCGTTATGCTACTCATGAGTAGGTAAATAGATGCCAAAATTCATCCCGCCATTAAACGTTCTCGCCTCACTGTGCAGCCCCGCCAGTTAGAAACCAAAGGACAACAGTGCCAACCGGCTATTATTCTGGAAGGACCTTCCTCTCAGTCAGGATGGCCTGGTTTTTACGCCTCCCGAATTTTTTCGTCTTCCTGGAAAATTGTACAAATATGCCATTCATTTCGACCCTATTCCGTTTTTTACATCAGCTGAGGGTCAGTGGGCTGTGTTGGCCAAGTAACGCATTTGTTACAAAGTCCGCTCTGCTTTATCCAGATCCCTCCAAATAAGGCATCTTTATAAACATATACGACTGCACTTCTGATTGTTTACCATCTAATTGACCAAAAAAAATCTAACAGTCCAGCCCAAGTAGTTTGCCACAATATAAAACACAACACGGAATGAAAAAACAGCTGATTAAATTCACACTTCGGTTACTGGAGATTGATGTCAGCATCTAGGACATACCGTATTACATCCTCTGTCCACTCCTGGCTAATGTAACCTGGTTTCAAAATGTAGTTTCCCTGGAATCGAGCATAACACATCAGGGTTTATTGTGCCTTGTGGGCAGCTTCCATACCCTGGAAGACAGAACGTTCATTTTTCGTTCATTTTTATGACAGCGACCTCATGTTAGACTGTTCAAATTCGAAATCACCTTAAGGAACAATCGAACGCTTTGCTATGCATATAATTATCATCTTCGGGGAAGTCCTACCAATGTAGCACTGCGATCTCGATTGCGTGCTGAGTTCAGGACTTTCGTGATTCTGCTGATTTTTATGAAAAACGAATACCCAAAAAACGAGTAGTTTTATTAACCTAAAATAGGGAAGAGTCATCATAAAACAAACTAAAAACACAAGAGGAATCCTCGTTCCCACGAAGAATTGTTTTGCATTTTGCGTTAAAAATACAAGCAACTGACGGTTTTTAAGAAATAATCGGATAGGAATTCCTCCTCCTTGACGGTAAGGGTAGCTGATGCACTGCTGTTACGCTGTTCAAAACCAAAGACAGTTTTTTGTTCATATGTATTTTTTGTTGATCGACGGCTTTATATGGTGGCAGGTCAGAGAACTTGGTCTGTTAGAGGTCTGGCGACCGTTGAGTAGTGCGGTAAATTCCCTTACATTCTGAGAACCTCAAGGAGGCCTTGAGGTTGAATTTTTTTCCGAATGCTCCTCATAAAGCACTTTTCTCGGTTAAAGATAGTCAGGCACATAACCTCATCGAGTTCTGGTAGATGTGCTCTTTAAAGACCAGCTGGTTTTTGAAGCTGAAAATCCGGCGACCCAGTAACGTTGTATCTACCTAGTGGTTCCAAATCAAAACAGAAAGTGTAACCGATTGATTTTTCAAGACTGACTACGTCAACCTCCCAAAATAGCCAAGCTTTTGCCGTTTTTCATTGTGCATTAGCTGGTTGCGCTTCCAAATGACATTCATTCACGTCTGTTTTCAGAAACAGTACGATTGGTTGAGATTACCGAGGTCGCGCTATTTATTTAGCATAGAGTTTGGACATTATGAGAGAGAAACACAACTTAGAAAGCAAACGCCATGACTGACTCTAGTGTAGAACGGGTTGAATAAGTCCCGATAATGGTGATAACACTAATTTAAATCCATTAGCTTACTATTCTCCCTCATTTTGCCAGAATCACCCAGTATGGTTTTTGTCACCCGATTGCTCTGCATGTACTCAATCTGGGCTATGACTCAGCCGAGGCAAGTTTCTGATGATTCTGATTTCATTCGATTCCATCTTCTTAAAAACAACTTTGTTCTTACAGTATTTCAAGATAGTGACGATGATCCTTGTGGCATGAAAACGAAAATTGCAATAAAGAAACCAGGTGGTTTAAAATAACATTCATTTCATCAAAGGATCAACACGGAAATGAAAAACTCATATGATTGTCTGTTTTAAACATAATCTGACTTTTTGTACCCTGGACTGTACTCAACGTATGACCATCTATCGTCCATGGTCACATGTGGAGCGAACTCTCCGAAGTTATTCTGCAGTGGTACTGAATTTCCAAGTTTGTAAGTCCCAATGGCCTGCTTGAAAGATGAAGGACGAACTCGCTGAATTGTTTGTTTTGTTGGGACTCTTCGCCACTGACGACGACCAACGGAGTGGCGATGCCCGTTTTTGGATGGAATCACAAATGGCACTTCTTCAATGACTCGTGTCACTACAGTGACATCGACCTTTGGTTTCGTGGTCACATAGTGTTTCGCTCCATAACCATGTAGCTCACTTTCTTTGATGGGGACCGGTAAAATTTCATGCGTAAATACATATTTTACGGGGACTTTTCCAATCTCTTTCACACGTGGAGGCCCACGGTACAGTGCGGGCTTGACCACCGTGGTCTCACAAAAAAGACCGAGGACCAGCAATAGCAGTCCGATGATGTGACTGTGCATTTGACTGAGATACAGTAGAAAAATTCGATTTCTTTATTTTGTAGTCTGTCAGATTGATCGGCATGCACTCTGTGAACTCGCACATCACTGGTTAATCTGTTCAGATCCATGTCACGCTTCATCTTGCCACCATGCACTGTTAATTGAATTCGATTCTGACCACATCGCTCATGCAGGGCGCAGTACATCAATGAATAAAACAGAGCAAGGGTGACACAGAAATTAAGGGGTTTGCAAGCAGGTGGTAGAGAACCATACAAATGATCGATATGGGTATTAAAAGGTAGTAGGCAATGGTCGAATAGAATAAATTTTTGGGAAATAATTTTTGGAACAGAAAAGTTTGCCAAGAATAACTGGATTTCTTCTGAAAGGTCCGCACCAAAATAAGATTTAAAACAAGTGTATTGCGTCAGTTTGATTCACCATCATTTCCCTCCTAAAACCTCGTAATTGTGCATCGAGTGCCATTTTTAACTAACTAACTAACTAACTAACTAACTAACTAACTAACTAACTAACTAACTAACTAACTAACTAACTAACTAACTAACTAACTAACTAACTAACTAACTAACTAACTAACTAACTAACTAACTAACTAACTAACTAACTAACTAACTAACTAACTAACTAACTAACTAACTAACTAACTAACTAACTAACTAACTAACTAACTAACTAACTAACTAACTAACTAACTAACTAACTAACTAACTAACTAACTAACTAACTAACTAACTAACTAACTAACTAACTAACTAACTAACTAACTAACTAACTAACTAACTAACTAACTAACTAACTAACTAACTAACTAACTAACTAACTAACTAACTAACTAACTAACTAACTAACTAACTAACTAACTAACTAACTAACTAACTAACTAACTAACTAACTAACTAACTAACTAACTAACTAACTAACTAACTACTAAACTAACTAACTAACTAACTAACTAACTAACTAACTAACTAACTAACTAACTAACTAACTAACTAACTAACTAACTAACTACTAACTAACTAACTAACTACCTAACTAACCAGTCATCTAGCAAACTGACCAACTAAATAAGCAACCAGCCAGCCAGCCACAGCCAACCAACCAACCAACCAACCAACTAATTAACTAGATATCCAAGTTATGAATGGGGCTGGTACAACAACAAACAATAAATACTCGGACAAAAAACTAATAATCATCGAAGAGTTTTCAGCAACCTTGTGAGTAGTTTCCTTTATGTAAACATCATACTGCTTTGAGAGTAAATCTCCGCAAGGCTACAGTTCCGAATCCGCCTGAAGGTTTGCAAAGTACGCGTTACCGGTGGAAACGTAACAAAGACCAGAAAGGCTTTGTTGGTAGCGTTAGTTTATGGTGGTAGCTGAAATTGTCGGGGAGCAATAGACTGATGAAATCATGCGAAACTGTTTAATTTGTTAGGGATCCAGCGCTGAGCTCCAGAGTTCAATGAATGATAAACTATGCTCTGATGAGCTGAGGTAAGATCTAACTTACCCAACTAAAAACTCGCACTGAAGTCGTAACTACTCTCATCTGGATTAGGACGTCAGCATCGGAATGAACTGATGAGTCCATTGGACTGGATTCAGTGAGTAAGGAGAATGGTCACCAACCTCCGTATGGGATATGCACCGCACCTTCAGGAATTTTACACCCCGGAATCTCATAGACCGACCTACTAACCAGGGTTCTCGTGAAAGTTTTATCATACTCATCAACACCTTCGACAGACTCTTTCGGACGTCCTTCGGAAATAGTCATTCAGTTTATCCGCAAAGATTTTAAGCGGCCCATCGTAGATTGCGTAGAATCCCAATGGTGGACCCTGTTTTGAATGTTAGATTACAATGGGATGTTTTGTAGGAGCTGAATGACAGACCAAGAAGCAGGGACTAGACATCAGACCAAGACAGTGTAAATGTGCTTCAGTTTCATTTTATTTAAACTAGATGCAACAGCTGGATGAGAGGGCAGGTGTTAGGTTAGAGGGACCTCAGAGGGGAGCTAAGCATTGCATCCTCTGTTCAACCTACTATGCCTTCCCAATTTCTGTGATACCCTTCAGCTAACCGATTTCAACAAATAGAATTTACCCCTTCGTCCGAAGATGCGAAAGTGGTGAACAGCATTTTGGCCACCAAAATAAAAACACCGATCATTTCTTTCCTGAAGCATGTGCAACTACCAGAATTTTATTCAGCCCGTTATGACACAAAGGTCGATCGGAGTGAATCACCTGCCGATTTTACCCAACTCCCTGTGCAAAGTGAATCAAGATGTCTTGTCTGGTATTTCCATTTTAAGGATGTGCAGCGATGGAAGGCGGATGTACTATTCAGTGCCTTTTGTTTCACTGTTGTCCGAGAATTCTTTATAGGTGAATTTGGAAGTCTCGGGTGCGACCAAGAGGGTCTAATTTGCCTATTCGGTCTCAATGAGAGCTGTTTTCTTTCAAAATGTCTGTAGAATACACGCGCGTGTGTTCAGCTGCTTTTTCGTAGTATGCATGGGTGTCATCAACGAGGCGTCAGCGTAGACAAATAATCCCAGGGATGGTGTCTGTCAGTCAAGGCATGGTGCGTTTCCACTTGAGTTGCCAACCATGATATGCTAAAAAATCCCTTTTCACACGAAATTTGTCAGCATGCTAGTGTATTTACCGCATCAAACTTAGAGAGTTGGGAGTGAGCTCAACTATCAGGAGATCTCCGAAACTCACGCCCACACAGAGGCTTTTCTAATCGCGACGATATGGTCCACTGCGACATTCGACCACCATGTGACCCACCAATAACTTGTTTCTAATTTCGGCTCGTCCCTTCGCAGAATACACAGTCCCGCATACGCTCTCTTACCAGAAGAGGACCTGATAGGTTTTCTTCGCTAGTGGACTTTGGTCCTCCGAAAGCCAGGAAGAGGTTCTTGGACGACAGGACGACAGGTAAACTACAAAGCAAAGCCCCAGGCAATATTTTTATCAAACCGGGCGTATAGGCAAATACATGCTTAGTTCACGATCACCTTAAGGCCAGCGCAAAAAGTAGTTGTTTTGAGGACCTAACGTTTTTAGGCCTCAGGTATTCATTTGGCCAAACTATAGGCTAATAAGTAGTATGAGTACCCGATAAAGATTATGAAAAGGGTCACTGTGAATTTCGACCACAAAGTTGGTCAGGATAAGCATAAGTGGAATATGAAGTAATATTCCGTCTCGATCAATCCAGGAACTAGTGGACTGGAACTTAAGGGACAAAAGACATCAGATACCGGCAACAAAAGGCACGAATGCAGTTTGAGAGTTAATCGGCGGTGTAGTAACACAAAAGGTCTATGCAAGTCAGAACAGGCTCTATTTACATGAGCCTCTCATATTATGATCGGTGAAGTATTGGTGCGTGTGAGGACTTGGTACGTTTCTTTTTTTGGGGTATTTGGGATGGACTNTACTATACCATAGCGTCGTGTATGAAGAGTCTGACAGCCTTGGTAGACTAGCATATTTGAAGGTTGCTAATTGGGTGTAACTGGGATTCAACAGAGTGGTTATTCGATCTTCTGCTCGATGAACAGGCGTATTCGTCCACCGGAACTAATTTTAAGTTCCGCGCCACCCCATGATCATTGAACCCATTGGCACGCATTATGGTATCTTATATCATTTGTTTTTGTCAGTGCTTACTGGTGGTCGCCACTTTAAAGCAATGCACTGACAACCTTGTTCCTCTCATTGCACAGAAATCTAGTGAGAGCGCAACCAGCTTCCTGTTTGAAAGCGTTACTTACCACACAGATTACGGAGCAGCCCATTCCCACTCACCTAGACTACAATGGATATCCAACTAACTCCCTAGTGTCGGAACTACAGAACGAACACGGGTGTCAAAAATTTGGTACACTATTGATTAGTAGTTATGAGATTGGTTCAGTAATCGTTATGGATGAGCAACGGCGTTATCTCCTTGCGTTTTCTCCTAATCAATGGAGGCGTGCGGTGATCAAGAGGTCTGTCATCGAATCACTTGCATCGTCCCCTAGACGCATTCGAGCTAGCCAGCAGAAACCCAATAAGTTGAGTTCAGCACATGGATTTAAGGTCAAACTTGGGCTGACCTGACTAGCAGAATCCTGTCTTGAAACTAGATATCCAAGCCAGAAAGCATGAATGAAAGTTACACCTATGGGTTCCTTGCAGTGTTTACAAGACTTAGGCGTAATTTTGCTGTGGGTAGATATTTCATGGACTTTGGATCAATTAACTTCGCTTAAATTTGCAGAATGCATTTCCTTTACAGCACTATGCGTTTTTGACAGACTGCGGCGCCTGAAGACTTATATCCAATAGAGGAAAGGTTCAGAAAGATGAAATAAAAAGTCGCAAAACATTTTTTGCACCTCACACAGTTCTAAGACAGTCTAATCGGTCAGTCAGTCGTAAACTGGGGTGTCTGCACATGTTAAATCCTCAGTTTCCTCAAGGCAATAAAAATATCCCGCTTTATTTGATTCCCTCAACAAGACTACCGGATTGGTGGTCTCTCTAACACAAGAATCTCCACTTAACGAGGACCAAAAGCAGCCTTTCATATACCTCAGACCCAGCAGCAAATTGAGATTGTCTCTTCGGAGCTGCAAGTCAAGTTGCAATATGTACGGAGTGGGAAAAATTGGTGTTCCTTCAAAAACAATTCCCAAAGTAGCTATTTATCAACAAATGCCAAAGACCAGAGGTGACTTATCGATCAGGCACCTGAGGATTTGACCGGATTTTGGAGCTTTAGATTTTGCGACTGGTTTCCTAAAAGTATAGTCTAGCGGATGTTTTGGTGGGCTTCTTCTCCCAGAGCTACTGCTGGACCATCTGTGGCTACCGGCGAGGAACACCAGGCCAGTTGCGCTGCTGCTGAATGCAGCATTCTTGCTGCGGACCCTGGATACTAGCAGATATCCTAGATTGAATATGGGTCATCACTAGCTGTGCATCGTGGCGTGGTATTGATCGTACAGCTTAGAGCACATAAAGAAAGACCGATGTTAGTCAACTGAAAGTGGATAAAAAATGTAATGGTTTGGTCACATGCCGAGCGCTTGCGTCTTTGGTAAGACTCATCGGAAGTCCCTGTTCTTTAGGTCGGGGATTCTAGCACGTAACCGCTGAACCACACGTTCGACTACCGGCGAAAGGAAGAAGGCCTCCGCTGTGGAGTTATTCATTTGGATACACCAAGTGAACAGTTAGGGAAGCAAAACTCTCACATGCACCTTATTTGTAAAAAAATGATTATCCGTTTTCTTCTTGCACGCACCTTCCTGAACTTTCCTGGATATTCTTGACTGTTGCTCAAATGCAAGCAAATGCGACTCCGCAAATTCCGTAATAGATCTCACTTTTCAAGAGACGCGAAGCGGATTTACGAGAAAACATACTACTCGCATGCCCCCATCAGTAGTATCCACTTTACACAAGTATTTGCAGTAGTTGAGCTGAGATGCAATTTCTGGCTTGACGATCTGTTGACTTATCCACATAATCTTCCCACTACAGATAAGCAGCCAGAACATATCGCCTGACTTGTAATGGATCCTCGCGGATGACGTGAGAAGTACGAAGCAGTGAGCTTGGATTTTCACTAGGCCTTCAAATAATGCTCAATCTTCCTCAGAAGCATTCATCATACGAAATGATCCCCCAGAGTTTCCATACATGTGCTTAAAAGAAACTCAGTTGACCACTGGAACGCGCGTTAATCAATCCCTACGAACAGTTATTTGTCCCATTAATGAAACTCCACAGTTATGACGAATTCACTGAAAGTCACCCGCAAAATGGGCAAGATGGCTCAGTGGTTAGAGCGTGAATCTACTGACTGGAAGTTCCGTGGTTCGAACATGACCCCATCTAGCAGGTTTTACATTTCCTACATGGTTTCCTTCACATCAGTAGACTGACCTGGTTTGTTTTCGGTAGCACTGTGATGGGGCTTGAGATGTTACGCCTATGGGTCATACGTGCAGCGGATTAGGCTCGGTTTACTGAGTTTCAGTTGACATCAAGTTAACCCCCCACTCATTTACTTACTCTGTTCACTCCACTTGTTTTACTCATTTCCACTCGCTATCCACCTTGCCGCAAAGACCGCCCCGTCTGATACTGGTATATTAGCATGTACGCAAGTGTGCGAGCGTGCCCATTTGACCTACTTATCGATGCCCAGTCTGCTGGGTCTGCCCTAACATGTTCTGCAGTGATCTCTGTGTGATCGCTCCGCCAATCAGAATCACAAGACTGGCCCCGGAATAGGCGACCGAAACTGACATTGCGGAGCCAAAAATTCACCGGATGTTGTCTGATGGGCAGATCCTGACACTGAATTGTGCTGGTGTTTGACGGACGTCCACACTTGTTGACACCACGAACGTGAACCACTGGAGTTTCGATCCCACATCCGTGACCCAAAGTTCCGTATAAGGAGCCTTAACACGCTTGTTGAAATAGACAATTGAAGCAATAAAGCCGTTTCAGCAGCTAATTCCCTTTGTGCGTGTGTGTGTGCGGAAGACGGACGGACAATACGATTGGTTAAATCAAGGGTAGTACAATTCAAGGCGACATCGTGTTTTACTGCATCCGTGATAAAGAAGTTATTAGATCCTTTAGAGTCAGAAACTGGTATGATGAAGACGTCCAGAGTGGTGTTTTTTGTACTGGATCATGCAAGAGTAACGGGCGTATTATAACAGTATTTTCAGTGGTCAGTTTGATTTCCTCTCCCAATTAAGAATCAATACTTCCCGTGCCTGATTGAGGTGACAGGTTCTTGTGCACATTGGTAAAATGGTCTTTTCAGAGTGTAATTCCCTCCCTCTCTCTCTTCCCACACACGTGCACATTGGTAAAATGGTCTTTTCAGAGTGTAATTCCCTCCCTCTCTCTCTCTCTCCCACACACACACACACTCAGCTACGCTGGAGACTGAGAGAAAGAAGGACATCACAAAGACATTAATTTCCTCAACAGTACATATAACAATACGAAGAAATGGATGAATGCTTAAGGACAGATGCAAAGCGGCACGCGAAACAAGTAGATAGGTAAGATTTTTTAGAGAAAATATGGACACAGAGATACCCGATGTGGATGATAGTCAAATTTATCTCTAGGTCTCTGTCTGTACTCAATCACAAAATGCTCTGTAGGCGACGTACTTATGGGCAGTATGGACGTTGGACGAGGACAACACCTGACATGACAAACTTTGGTTGTCAAAATTTCCGGGGGCGATAATGGGGACAAAGACGTAGACACTGTATAGGAAGAGGACGAGATGAATTTATGGCGGTGACTCATCCAAAACAGATCGGGCCAAAGATTAGTGATCCATTGTTTTAGCTGTGGGCGTGGAATCGGATTCGTCTTCCACCTCGTCCTCACCCCGTCCACCGTAGTCTTCAGGGGCACTGGGGACATGACTAGCCGACTCCCCTTCGTATAAAGGATTCTCAAGTTCGAGTTGATTGGGCTAAAATATGACGAAAAATAAAGTACTGTTAATTATGATCAGCATTTCTTCCAACCAGTCCAATAAAACCTAAATTTCGAATGGAAGCAGTGAATTGACTCGAATTCACACGCAATTTAAGATAAATATTGAAGTCTGTAAGCAGAATCCGAAATGTGTTGAACTTTTTTCGATGTAACTCGTCTTTCTGGGGGAAGTAACACTGACCAGACATATAGAAGCCCGGATTAGTTCGCTACACCATATCTCCAGTATCGTCAGCGTTTGGTTTTTGTAATGTATAAGTGTACCTAATTGTGTAGTATAGAATAACGCTGTACTAAGCTTCGTTGAACTGTTCTGCAATTGCCGCGCATTTCACCCGTAGGCTGGAAAAGGAACAGTGTTAGTGCTCTGGACATTCTGGAATTTTAGACCGACAACAATGGTTTTGGTGATAGGGCCAGCGGATACTGGCTGACATAAGATAATCCAGGGTATTCATGAGAGACTCAACTGAATCTCTCGTTTATGATATTATACAACTGAATGTGCTGCACACAGACAACCTTGTGAGTAGTTTCCTTCATGAAGATATACTGCGATATCTCGAGCATCGTGCCAACTGAATCATGAGGTGGCCTGTGTGCAGCACATTCAGTTGTAGAATATCCTAGACGAGAGATTCAGTTGAGTCTCTCGTGGAAACCAAATTAATTTTTAAATGAGCGTATTTCTCGAAAACAGTCCAATTTGGGTTCAAATAGAACATAAGGTTGATGGAAATTCGGGGATCACGCCTACCTGATGAGCCCCAATAAGGGCGAAACCGGTCGTGGGCTGTCGAAGAGTTTTCAGCAACCTTGTGAGCAGTATCCTTCGTGAAAATAACCAGATTATGTCCATCGAGTGCACATTGAGCGATAGGAACCAGCTATCCAATTTTCACATACACTGAGGTTTCCATTGGTTAGTTATCTCGAAATGAATTAAAACTTACAAGTCGCAACTTGGGCTTGCGGTGACTTTAGAACTTATCATTCTGATCACACTTCCCTCTTTCTCTGTCAGGTTTTTACCGGGTGAAAGCTAATAGCAGAGTAGACCCGGAACAACACATAGATAGCCCCATTCAATCTGTTTGAGAGCTCACTGATATCCAAATCTGAAGGTACTGAGTGTTGTAGTCTAGACAAACTTCGCGAGGACAGAGAAAGTGAGACAAAAACGGATATAATGGTAAAATCTAATCTCCAAACAGTCATACAATTTGATCTTTTACTAACAGAAATTTCCGATTTTGGGAAAAATAAATTAGGATATTGGCATCAAATGACCAGCAATTTTTTCTTCGATCTATTAATACGAGTTCACCGGCACTAAGTGAATCACTAAAAAGTCACGCAGCTATCCCGATCGTCAGTTTCAGAAATTCTAGGCCTTGTTGATGTGTCATAGCTCAACGACTAATCTTCGTTCCTTCCCTTTGTCCGTTCGTTCAACCCTCCAGTCACACGTCCTTCTTTGTAGTCCCAAAAGTAGGCACGACGACCGGTGTGGAGCTGTTTCGTTAGAAACACGATCTAAGCGGTTACAAGCCATTACACACGATAGTAAATATCTCATCTGCACGCCGTTTTGGAATAGTGTACATTCTCAAGCGCACTCCTGAACTTTTTGGACGCTCTTTTTCATAAAAACAAAATGAATGGGCACTGCAAAGTGGCTAAATAACTTCCGCAATTACCTCCGTCTCCCATCAGATGCGGGGCGGACCTTGCAAACCAGAACAGACATTACCTACATGATGTATCATCAGTAGTATATATCATTAAAGTGATGTCTCCTCAGACCATGCGTCATCCGATTTTCTTCACTCGTCTTTTATCGCCGAAGTGACTGTGTTCTTCTAAACTCTTCTACCAAGATACTCTATCCACTTCCGGGATGATCTTCTCTGTTACAATATCCTCAGCCTAACACCAAACCTTGAAGCTCAATACCGCCCAGCATAGTCCCGTATCCTTACAATCCGTATCCAGCTCTTCAAGACTGGAACGAAGACTTTTCAGCGGAAGCCAGCCCAACTATGGGCTTGTTTGCTGAATAGTTGTACATTTTACTTGCAGGGGGTTTCTGATCTTCACGCTGCTCTCCCATTATTAATTCTTTGGTTTGTGATAAAGTGAGTTTCCCACCGTGGTTACAACCATTGGTGTTCTTGCAATGTTTCGAAAAGAGCTTATGGGATAAATTCCGTCTTCTATTCGCGTGGGAGTTATTTTGTTTGATTAATCAATCAACTGAAGACTTTTCGCACAACGGCAACACAGATTTCGCACGCAATGAACGTCCGGTATTCTTGATACCCGGAATTTCTTGTGTAGAGTTCCATAATCTTGTAGGTTGTAGTTAGTATTGTATGACCTGTATAGTCCTGTTACATTGGTTTCTACTATTAAAAAACATCCCACAATTTCCGAGAAAATGGAAAGGCGAAAAATCTAAATGCCGGCTCCTATGAACTACAGCTATTATACACGGGGATTACATAAATCGAAGAAATTCCATTATCCGTTCAGCATGGTTCACCATACTGAAATCAATTAAGTAGTCCACTAAAATCGGAATATTTCTTTCATGAGTTATCAAGTCGGACTGCAGTTTAGTAGATATAGTCTACACCTTTCGCCTGCAGCTATACACTGACTGCATAGCTATCGAATAATCTGACTGTGCCGCTGGGACACGCGCATTCTGTCAAAGCTAACACGTATGTGAGACGCCGATGCACTTGTCCTAGTGGATAATCCAAGCGTCTAGCTCAGAAGGACTTTGAAGACTTTGTCTTCTCCAGAGTAGTAAACTGCTATTGAGCCGTTTTGAATGGTACAAGCGTGACTCTCTTTCACAAACGAACTTGCAAGGTCTGTTGTGTTTATCTACTGAAACAAAGGGTGGACAAACCTCAGCAAGTCCTGGGCATTCGTAAACGGTGAAGTCACCTTCTTCCACATCGGATCCACTACCTTCCTCGCTGCCTTGCGCATTATCGCTGGCCCTGAAGATGAGGGAGAAAAAAGGAAAGTATTATTAGGGCTATAACCTGGTTTCATCTAACTTGTGCGTAAAATTTTTCATCCTACTTAAAAAAAATAAATAAAAGCACTCAGTAAATTTGTTTTTGTCATTTTTGACCAGTGTTCACAAAAAAACTTGCGTCCGAAGTATTGAATGATGCCAGCGGGGTTTTTAATTTATGCAGTGAAACAAAATATCATATAGTTTATCCAAAGTGATCGCTGTCCTCAGAGGTCCACCTTTAAGGGTGTAATGTTTTCAATTAGTTTTGCTATCCACAAACACTGGGTCTCTATCCTTTCTTTCACAGTACTCTTGAATACTACTCAAGGTTGTGATACTTCACTATTTTCCCCTGATTTTAACCCAATCGGGCTTGTGCTGAAACTCCTATTTCCCGTGAATGTATAATCACTATGACAAAAGACTGTCAACTTTCAAGATTTTATTTAGATTTTAATTGACACTTATACATGCGAGAATTAGGTATTTTTATCCCGTATCACTTGGAAACTTGATTGCTGCACATCGCTTGCACAGGAAAGACAGTTGTTTGACATCAGTCGATTTTTACTAGGTCTTCCGTGGCCGAATGATTTCTCAGGCAAACACGTTCAACAAAAGCCCTGAAGCCCAGCTTTTGACTTGCAAGGATGGCCTACTTCTAGAGGGCTTGGCAACAAGGAAGTGTGAAAATCCACTTGAAACACGTTCACATTTGAATAGGGGAAGTAGCGTGTGATGAATACGAAGTTCTACTACTGGTCTGTGGCCGATTCAAAAGTCACAAACTACATGGTTCATAGATTGAAAATTCCCGCATGTCTTGGATCACGACGAAGCGCTTGTCGCTGTAATAAGCGAAGATCCCTGAAAAGTACGCCAGACTTTGAGACTTGGAATTCGTCAGTGTTAACCAGCGCTTTCTCGGGACGCTTACAGATCAGAGGACACAACAGAAGTTCCATTTAGAGCTCTTTTGCACCCCCTGTCCCCACAAACGGGTCACACAGCTATGAATACCCGTATCCGGCTTTGGGCGCACTCGACGCTACACGGGTGCGTTCAGCGTTCACTGTTGGAGTAGTACTAACAAGCTCACCTCGCATGCTAAACTCCTTCAAGGTCAAAAGTATGCACTGATAACGAGCTCTAATGAGAGCCTAACTCAGCCTCCATGATTCCTCCCTTTGGTGTGCGGACTCAACAGAATAACAGAACCAGTACAGAACAGGCCGTTCAGAACACCAGAGGATGTGGACGTCCCTTTGGTGTGCGGACTCAACAGAATAACTGAACCAGTACAGAACAGGCCGTGCAGAACACCAGAGTGATGTGGACGTAAAAGCTAAATAGGAGTTGCAGTCCCTTCGATTTTAGCCGGTTTTGAATGGAGATTGGAGGCCAATTTACCACTCATGGTTGTGTAGATCCATTTTGTACAAGCAGATGCGTTTCTGTCATTCAGGCTGTTTCCACAAACAAGAGAATCCGGAATGTATGTCACAGTAGCTTACATCGGCAGTACGAGACCTGAAAACGAATGCATCGATGACTATAGGATACAACGAGGATTTGAGCTGCTAGGTGGAAGTTTGCCCTTCGGGAATTCAACTCTCCCAGAATTTAACAACGAAAATGCAAATGTTCATTGAGAATAGGACAAAAAGTGATTAACTTAAAAAGTCATAAGAAGTGGATGGATTAGAAGTTCTGGTCCCGGTTAGTATCACAAAGATTGAGCGCCTTGTGGTGTATAATACGGAATTTTTAAAGTCAAGAGACGCTGTAATCCGACGTCTCGGTTGCCCTAACAAACCTTTTTCAAGGATTTTTACAATCGATCGACTGTAAATTACAACATCTGGTTCCACTACATTGTGTTCTGACTTTAAAAAAAATCCATAAACTGGATAGAGTGCCTAAACTTAATGGCGATTTCCCAAATCGGATTCTAACAACTGCCAACAATTTTATGAAAAGTTCTGTCTTCGTTCCAATTTTGTGTAAGAAAGAGATAAACCTACCGTTCAACAGCTAGCATTTGTTGTTTCTGATGTTGATAATGGTACATTTGCGCTGAGTGGGCCAATTTACGATCACCATCTAGGCTCAGTGATGTTGTTTCGCCCAGTAAACTTCCATGTGGGCTTCGGCCGTCACTAAACGGTGCACCCATTTCATCTTCTCCTTTTGTTCCCTTCTTGGGTAAGTGAATCCTACAAGGAAACAACCAGTACAAAATATGTAAACAACTCACCAGCGGTATGAAGTAAAACCGCTAGTATTAACTGTGAACCGTTAGATAGGTGAATGTTTGTTCTCATACTCAAGCAAAATCGAGTCGGTAAAATGAGGTTCCATGACATTTATTTTTTATATGTTAGCTTATTCGATCCAGAATATCTAGGCTGCGCGACTCAGCGTGTGACACTGACCTCACGGTGTTAACCAACTACCATTTGTTGGTTGCCCCTGTCCTATCTTGGCTCTTTGTTGAGCGTACTGCGGCGCAATGGTTCTGGAATTTGCGGTACAGTCACATGTATACAAACTTTTCGATACATGCACCAGGCACGTTTAATGGGGTGACTTGATAAAAGTGCAGCGGTAAAAGATCTTTCATGGCTAGCTTGTATTTCGCCACAGGTAAGGCAATCGGACACTTTTTCTAGTTAATTTAGCGGGAGTTGCCCGGTTTCCAAAGAACAAACTCATCAAAATATAAAAGTGAATACACATGGGTGGAGGCAACGGTTTACTGCCCAATACCCTCGGAGTCCACTCTGACTAGGAAGGAACCCGTTTCAGCGATACATCCGCACTGATGGATACTTGGATAGCTTAAATCGAAGACCCGTTCCCGCATTGCGTAGAACCATCCACATCACGCTGGCCTCTGTTGGAACCTGACACCTGAGCATTCACGTTTGTTACTCGACAGTCAAACAAGATCAGGTGATATTCTCTGTATTTTATCGCTGTCACAAGTTTTGTGTTTGTCCCTAATTTCTTATGTATAACCTTAATGTGTATTGGCCAGATGATGATTCCCCGCGGGAAAACTTGTTAGCTACAAAGGATTGCTTCTCAAAAACATCACAGAAAGCTAAGGAGAACTCGGAACAGACACGTAACAGAAATATCTTGGGGGTTGAAAGTCTCAAAATTAACATCGATCATGTTTACTGGAGGATTATACTACGGAACGGTTGAAGTGAATGTCCAGTCCGGAACTAATTTAATCGAGCTTCAGTCAGATTTTATGGTGATTCACTGTTCCAACCTAAGGTGGCAGATTGACTAGGGTTTGTGCTGTAAATCTCCGTTGTGAGTGCATATGTCAGCCAATGAATAGCGATTTAATATGAAGACTGGAAGTGGAATAAGGGGCTTGGTTACGGATGAAACCCTGCAAAAGGAACTGATCTCGAGTGCTCGTATAAATAATCAGGACTTGAACAACTCAATTAGTTGCTCAGCTATGAAAACGGTCAATATTCAGTGGGCAATCTCAAGGCAACTACTCACGAATGAAGTGGGTGGATACGTTTGTTCCAAAGTCAATCGAGGAAGATTTTCCCAAGTGGAGAGTAATTTTCTATCCTATCCACATATTCTGGTCACTTCCATTGTAGATGAAGGGAGAATATGAATGTTGAACGTAATAATGGCAACAAGTCATTTGTTCAAAGTTTACTCAGTATATTCCATTTGTATGGCTACTAATAATAGCCGAATAGTCGTTGGCTTGTTCGCTAAGCTGAGCAATTGGACTGCAAACGTTTCATCACCAATCGAGGTGACGTCATTAGTGCGTTATTGGGGAGCGTAGTGGTGCATCGGACTGGATCCAGTTTACGCACCCCCACGTGCAAATGACCAACATCTCAACCGGAACACTCAAGGAGCACCGAATATTGGATTCACAAACAAAGAAACAAGGAACTCCTTGGAGGCAAATCAATAGAGGTCACAAGCCGGGACTCGAAAGGACATAGGTCACTCCAGCAACGACCAGATTATGACGGCAATAGGTGACAAGCTCAAAGGTCACGTGAGAATCGGCGAATGGGGACACAGGACAACGGGGTAACCAATGGAGCCGTCCGATCGAACAGCTAATCGCGATCAAAGGTCATACATTGCTAGCAACATGTATATTAACACACGCGTAACACTACTTAATGCACAACCACTAACCCACCACTACGCAATACAACGCTCCCCAATAACGCACTGATGATGTCATCTGGATTGGTGATTTGCAATTCGATTTGCAATCAAATTGCCCAGCTCACCAAACAAGCCAACGACCATCTACGCTACCTGAGCTACCGATATTTTCCTCTATAGATAGCCGGATAGTACTTGCCATACTCAGTTAATCCTCACACTTTCTCTTGGATCCAGAGAGTCTTTCTTCGCCCAGAACAGTAAACAACTGAGGCAGGCAGTAGAGCATTAAAATAGAGCTGATCAATAGAAAGGCTTCATAACTGTGGTTTTCCTCTGTGGTTTTTCTCAAGGCGACAAGAACGTCAGGTCGGTCGCGAAATGGGATCGAGAAGTTGATGTTATCAGTTTCTTTCAGACAGATTTCAAATCAGGACCGTACTGTGCGTCTCTTCATATGTGATTCAAATGGTACAACATAGATAAAAACTGTTCAGTCGAAGTGGATTAGGGATATAAATGCTTACGGATACTCTGGCGAATAAGCGATTGATCAAGAATAAGTCGTTTGAAAATATGCACTCACTTTTGGACGTACACAACGATTGCGGCTATTGTAGTGCCAACCAGTAGAACACAGAGAGTTCCGAGGGCTGAAAAGGTAAAGACAATTCAGTATTATTTTCATACTGTAAATTTGTCCGAACAGTTTTCTTTTTGAAACGACAGCTTTCGAAAATTTGTTCTCAACTCAAGGTTTTCATAATGTAAGCTCTATTCTCCGTTGGCTGTTGGAGCCCCCAGAATCGAACGCGACATTTTTCTACAGAATTTTATTTCAAAACTTGCAGCAAATCCCACTTAATTTGTGCTCAATTAAAGCTCATCACAAGGTTTTACTGACCGCAACCATGTTATCTGTTCTTTAAACTTGTTACTGATAAAAGTTAACAGTATTCTCAACTGATGGGAGCACCGTATTCCTAGACACTGTAGAAGGTAAGTAGATTGCCGAGTTGGTTGGTTGGTAGCCCTGAAGCGAGAATTTCGAGTTAATGCAGATTACAACTAGTATGGACAATGATGTCCAACCGCTTTCAGGTACTCTGATACGTCTAAGAGAACCTCTGATTTGTAGACAATTCCTGGATAACAGCGTGATTTGGTTTTGAGCAACTTGTCATCATACTGACTCGTATAATGGTACTACTGATTTTGGCTTTTCGTTGACCATCCGATTAAAGAATACAGCCGAAGCGTTCTTCTGGCGCATAAGCTCCGGGGATCATGTGAAGAAAGTCGTTAGTATTCAGCAAAACGATATTCTACCCCTTGTTTTGCTTGTACGTCCATGGCCTACCTAACCGTGTAAGTATATTGATTGCATTCTAACTGTAAAAATTCAAAAAGCCACATATGTTTGCAAACCGGACCAAATGAAATGGCCGGGTGATCCCAAGAACTTCAGGTCATCCTCAGTGTTTCAAAATAACAATATGCTGTTTCCACTTAACATTCAGTTGAGGACCTTGTTGAGAACTTGACGTAGCTTATGTTTGTTGTTCAAGCTTCACCATTGTTAGCTATCTAAGGGTTACCTTGGGCAGTTGATCACTTCACTTTTGCCAAAGTCTGGTGACCGGTTTTGCGCTGTCATACCATCAGTACTACCTGTTCCTATTGATCTTATTCACAAGTCTAGTGCTGAATATACTCCTTCCTATCGGGTTTGGTGTTCCTCTACCAAATTATCTGGATTTTTGAAGGAAAATTACTGCCTCATATTTAGGCTACTGGAACGAGTCTGTAAGAGCAGGTCAATAAGCACTCTGAAGCTTACAACGAGTCTGTCTTAAAACATTACCAGATGGTCCACTCTCTCTTCGCCCACTTTTATGCAAGCTCAGGTCATCTTCTTCCCCACCGCCCGGTTAGAAACTGTCACCCACAAGAATAACCAAGCATCGGAATGTGTTGATCCAGACGTGGCCCGATATCTTGTTAACTCTAACTTACAACGCGATGCTCTCGTATCATTCCTTCGAGTCTAATTTGTCTCTTTGGACATGCACTCTACTGCTCTACCGACCATGTGTATACTACGAGTTTGTTTGCTGAAAATTCGCTTGATCAACCGCCCCAGGCTATTCTTGACTTGAATTGGCCCATATTACTTTCAGGCATCCTAAAATAATGAACTTCACTATAACGCCGTTTCAATTGAAACGGTGTTCACCAATAAGAATAGTTTTCTTTTCGAGAATCACAGTAAGACGATAGTGACATCTGGTTTTGATTTTGTCCTACATCTGACGTCAGAAAACCAGTGTTCTCTGCGCCATTATGCGCTGTCCCAAGTTGTTTCGCGTGCATAATGATTACGTGAAATGCTGTGGAGAAAGCCCCTCCGCAACTTACCAACTGGTTTCCAAACGATATAGGATCGAAGTCCTTTGGGAGTAGAGGGCACAGCTGGATTGTCATCTCTCCTCACTCGTTTTGGAATAGTGTCTATTTCCGGGTCAAGATTCTCTACACGGCGAAAACAAAGGGGAAAGCAATCAGGACAGATGAGTAAAATGAACAGTTTTGGTGAGGTGACCTGGCTAAACTGTTGAAAACAATAATTAATAATCTGAGAAGCAAAACTCCCTTTCGTACCCAGAAGCTGTGAGTACTGTCCACAGGATGCCAGCCGTGATGACCGTTAGAGTTCTTATAACGTCAGTCAGCGTCCGCTGAAAATCATTTTATCCCAAGGGAGAAAAACAACGCGGTTGGCTGATATCATCGTGAGCTCATAGTTCGTGCCATAAACAACCATGCCTCATTAGCTGCGCGCTATTAACTACAACTAATAACGATTGAGTAGCTGTTAGTGAATTCACAGAACAACAGCCTGCGTAACTACTTTTGCAATCCGGATAGAAGATATATCAGCAGAAAATGGAAATCGCTCGGCTATTGAGAAAAATATGCATTCACAGCTACTCTTCGAGTGAACAATTCAGTGAGGTCAGTTTCTATCGCACGCATGTTTCTCATGGCCATTTATTTGTGGGAAATCTGGGAAATTATCCAATTGGGTTGAAACAACCCCTGCTCTATTCTGATGAGGCAGCAATCCTTTCTATTGCCCGTTTCATCAGATCCCAACAGCGCCCCTTGGGTTTGGCGCACTTACTGAGGTGTCCGAGTAAAATTACTTTTGTTACCCAGCTCGCGCCAGGCACATGCGCTCAATAGGAAAAAAACTCTATTCATAAACAAACAAGCGATCCATCTGGGTTACATTGAGTCTCCAATTAAAACCAACTTAATGTGTAATTGGATGCATTCCCTGAATTACATCTAACTTGGATTCAAGTAAGCGCTGCGCTGACGGCCAATTGAGAACCGTGTCTACATGGTGAGCCGTAAAAAGGGCAGAAGCGGTCTTGGATGGTCAGTGGCCTCTTGAACCGATGTGTAAATTCGAGCCGGTGAAAGCAACCAAAAATGTTCTGACTATTATCGATACTAGAAAGCCACGTCCACATTCTATCATTGTTTGGTCCTTGCCATGATTAATTCAGCCCAGTCGGAGAACCCCAATATGCGGCGACGCAAATGATCTGTGATGTTTAGCTATTCTCTCGAGAGAATGTTGCACAGACGTAACTTCAAATTAAGTAACTCGCATCGCACCCCAGCATATATTCTTTAGCAGAACCAAGTTTTCTACACAAAATCATTAACCGGTCTTCCCTTCGGTTAAAATTAGCGCTCATCATATGCTCCTCTCGTAGTGTTAGAGTGATAGTCCATATGAACTGAGATGACCACTAGTTCGCAACCCTCATGTACTCCTGTTGTTGCGAAATAAACACGGGTCTATAAATTGTAATCAACTCTATACACCTGATGGACATCCTCATGGTCCATTAACAATGAATTCATCCAATTCCATCCTAACTATAGTTAGCAGCAACGTCTGTCAGCTGAGCGCTAGTGTTAGTTAGCCCTATCCAATGTGTCCTCAACGTAACGTGCTGAGGACGGTGTTCGTTACGAACAGAGTACGATTCGGTACAACGTTTGCAACATTATTGTTCAAATCAGCTGGTGGTAATTCTCGAAATGGCGTATTTTATAAAAGGCAAGTTAATGCTTTATGTGTGCTTCAGTTTACTCCAAAAACCGAAAAACATTAGAACTGGCGATTCATGAGATGTGCGCTGATTATGATTTCAAATAAGTTTGAAACATATGTACAATGATTCTTTCCGCATAGATTGGCTTCGATTATGGGATGAAATTTCCTTAATCTTTTCATACTACCAGTTTGAAAGATTACCAGCGCTCATAGCTTAAAACACAGGGACAAGGACTCCAGTGCTTCCTTGAATAGAATTTTGTAATTTTTGTGGAAGCGGCGCGCAGCCACACCAGAAGGGCTGAGTTTTACTAAGAATATGTGAATGGCGTTCAATTTTTACAAAATCTCTTAAATCACAGAATACTCAGGGAACTCTTCCAAAAATACCGAGAATGATCACAATATCACGTGGATTATCCTATTGTGGTTCATAAATGCCAGTTAATTTGGCAGTTTGAGTAGCTCACTGCAAGCGTTAAGCGTTTTTTTAAGATTTTTAATGACTGCAGTTTCTGGGGGTTTGGCGGGATAGGTATTTTGGTCATAGTCACAACACCTGTCCTGGCGCAATTATTCATGTGAATCCACACCAAACGGGGGGGAAGCACTGGACTCGAGTTTCGCTCTTATTAGAGCGCATCAGCAGTGCATATCCAATGAGCGTGTCGGGATTTGAACCCCGGACATCTGACATGCGAGGCGAGCGTGTAACCACTACTCCACCAACGCACGTTAGGCGCATCTGAACTCACCGGAATAATTACGCCAGAACAAAAGGACGACCATTCAAACGAGAGTGGTGTGTCTGTGAACAATTTTCAATGAATTTCCAAGTACAAGCATAAATGGAAACACAGAATGCCGGTTTACGAAGTTGCATCATAATCTGCAAAGCTAGTCAGACAATTTGTTGTGAACTACTTCCAGAAAAGATAGTGGTCAGTCAAAGTGGGCCAGTGATTGTCCGTGGGTTGTTGCTAACACGGCTGCATGTGGATGTAGTTGGTTTGTTTATAGAAATGTGAATTTGACTCCACCTTTTCTGGTTTCGCGGAGTCTGGTTCTAGCTGTGCTTGTCGTTCACTCACCTTTTGTTCTCCTTCTTCTTCGTTCTCGTCGAACTTCTCACGATTTCTTCCCAATCGGCCTGTCTACTACGAAACGTTCGCGCCCCAGTATTCGTATAGGTATGTCAACAGACCAAGAGGAGTCTCAGATACATAGCATCAACCTAACGACCCGTCATTCTGTGGTGCCGACTTCACGAAAAATACGTAGGTTTTCTTTCCTTTTTAGTTTATTAACCATCCTGAACTGCTCGTTTAGTTATTTATTCCATGTATTCACTAGCTCCGTACAGAATTCATTACTGATTTTCAGATTTTGCGTAAGCCTCCTTCCACACAATGTCGTGCATTCAACAGTCCTGTATTTTATGATCATCTCTGCAAAATAGCACCGAAATTTCATTTTGGAACCATGGGTTGTTGACCAGGTGGCTGTTGATCTGTTCGTCGGGGTTACCAAGTAACTCCTAAGTGTTCCGTCACCAAACGCAGAGACATCCTCAATGCACTTCTTGGTGAGGAAGGCACCTGGTGAACAAGTGATAGATGTAACCAAGCTACCAACATTCCAATATCGGAATTACATCTCTATAGCCGAATATCACAATCAGATCCACGAAAAAGCTTCCCTAAAATCGATACAACTAGTTTTAAGACTTCTACCCATTTCCCCTTTGTGACGCAAAAGATTTATCCGTCATCCGTACGAAAGTCCTGCTGTAGACCTGAGGAGCTTGTGGATAAGTTTGTATTAGAATACAAAGGAAGTAGTACTTAAGCTCATCAGTATTTGGTGATCAGGTAAGCATGAAGCTGTTCAAAATCCTCTCTAAAAAGGCTCATTGTTCTTGCAGGTTGTATTGGTGACGAGAAAAGTACTCCCTCTTAATGCCATTTTGAACTGGCAATCAAATTCTACCCAGGGCCCATTAGCCGCACAATGTTCTTAGCTAGGAAAGCTTTGGGATGAAAATAAAACTTTTTGCGCCAAAATGTTGCATTTTGTTGCATATGTGCTCAAACCAAAAAAAACCATGCTAATCAACCTTCACACTTTGCCACTCACCGAATTCCATCGTCCAACGATGCAACCATACATCTGGCGGAAAAGTCCGGTGGAATACTTTCTCATGCTGAGACGGACGCCGAGATGCTTAGATGGGGCTTAAAAGTTTGGATTGATACTCTGAACTCATTAGCCTGTCTGCTTTGGTCCATCAGTTTGAACTGGCAATCAAATTCTACCCAGGGCCCATTAGCCGCACAATGTTCTTAGCTAGGAAAGCTTTGGGATGAAAATAGAACTTTTTGCGCCAAAATGTTGCATTTTGTTGCATATGTGCTCAAACCAAAAAAAACCATGCTAATCAACCTTCACACTTTGCCACTCACCGAATTCCATCGTCCAACGATGCAACCATACATCTGGCGGAAAAGTCCGGTGGAATACTTTCTCAGCATTGCTGAGACGCCGAGATGCTTAGATGGGGCTTAAAGGTTTGGATTGATACTCTGAACTCATTAGCCTGTCTGCTTTGGTCCATCAGGAACACATGGTTGCCTTCAAAAATTTAATTCCATTGTGCGAATCCCTGAGTACCATTCTACCCACCACCTTCGAGTCGACACTTGAATTTCCGAGCACACATCAGGCGCTTATTATTCCAACATTTGGTCGTTATCAAAATGACCACTAAAACCTCTTGAATTCTACTTAGAAAAAGCCACTTAATGTACGACTACGTACCTTGGTTCTAAGGTTTTTGGAAAACAACTGCTACCGGACAACCTGACTATAGGTAAATGGTAACAACTGGTGTGAATTGTCAAAGCATTGTTTCACAAAAACGAAAACTCACATACCTTGGTTCTAAGGTTTTTGGAAAACAACCGCTACCGGACAACCTGACTATAGATAAACGGTAACAAATGGTGTGAGTTGTCAAAGCTTTGTTTCACAAAAACGAAAACTCACAAGTAGAACGTTATTATTGTTGGCTACGATGAAATATTGAATAAATAACACGAGACTCTGCTCATGTCATCGGCAAACACAAGTGTCGTTCAGACAAAACAGAAATAAAAATCCTCTATATTACCAGGAGCAAACGACTGGACATGGTAATGATGATACGTATTTGCATAGAACATTTAATACGGAGTGAACGTATTATCATACCATCTGAGAATTCATAGGGTACAGCCTCTCCGTTTAGCGTCCGCCTCGTAAGATCCAGTTCCCTGCGTGACCGTAACTCCATGCTTCGCTGTATTTCTGCAAGTAATAAAAGTAGACGAATCTCTTCAGAGCGGAACCCCATTGATGTGTAATATCACGTAATTTTAGATTGTACGCAGCCCTCATTGTCTCCCTGTCAGACGACTATCCTGTTCCAGTAGCGGTTCCCTGAATATTCAATACACATAACCGTGTGACCCTACATTGCACTTCTGTTTCAGGAAACTCGTATGTTTGTTGTTTGTGATTAATTGTAATCCTAAATCCCAGGTTTTCTAAACTACGACTAGATGCCATCTGAGGACTGAACTGAAAAACGTCATTAATTTTCACTTTCTTTTTTTGCAATCTTGCTCGCCCCTTCAAGCCTCAGTGGTCGACCTAGCTAGATAAAATTGTCTGATACCAGTACTGATTGCTGTTGAATCTAGCTGTCGACGGTCAGAATCCTATCTAAAGGCTAGGCCCAAGTGGTGAGGAGCTGAAGACAACAAATTGCTTACTTGACTGATCTCACTGGCATCCTTGTTAAGACTTTCAATCCAGATTTTCTGATTGGACAGTGGGCTGGAATTAGTCTCACCTTATCTTCTAGTTCTTTCGTCTCAAGATGGAGCTCTCGTAAACGAGAAAACAGCATGACCGTATAAAGGTTGAACGCAGGCTTTCGTTAACAGCGTTGCAATTATTACAAGGAATAGGTAGGTGCACTTCAAATCTCAGTAGACGCGTGAGCTAACGATGGCAATCACGCATGACACCAGATGTATACTGTTGCGTCTACCTGGATTTAATTACGTTTTGTCAAGCCTTTCCAAATCCCACCTTCTTAGGTCTGAATGTTCCGTATCCCGAAACGCGTCCAATATGCGATTCGTTGCGCAGTCACAAAGTGTGATCGCACTTTTACCGGACTGTCCCACATAACCTCATCACTTGCCCTCCAAAAAGCTGAAAAATGATTAGGCTTGGTGAACTATTGGAATAGGATTCGGATGAAAACATTCCCAATCTATTTTGCATCACTGTCGTCCCAGCCCCAATGTTTGCGCGATTGTCGCGTTGGTACAAGGTCACGTGACCTTGTACACGTGACCTGATGTCCCTTTACTTCCAGGACTGAAAAAGCGCAGTTAGGAAAACAAATTATTTCGTGGTTTTACTGCAGCCTGTACCTGTATCTGACTAGGAATATACATTTTAACACTTATGAAACGATCTCATTATTTCCGGCTCTTCTATCGTGATTTCAATCGCGGCCTGTCAGTTGAATGCCACCCGAACTGGGTTAGTGGGTTGAAAACCTTTGTAATATCTAAGCGTGCTCTCTTAAATAATGCGTCCCTCCACAAAGGCCATACCATTTAATGGCTCCAGGACCTAGTATCTTCAGGAACCCTAAACCAGTGGACAGTCATGCATTGCACATTTACGAATAACCCGATACCACATCGGAGGTCGGGTGCCATTAACTGAGTCACCTTACTGGCTGCATACATTGGGGAAGGTAAGTGAAAAATGTTGCTGTTGACGCCTTCCTCGATCCTGTTTCACAGGCTTGCTCATCTCCGTAGGCTGATTCTTAAGGACTGACAGATCTGCGACAGATATACTCATTTGCAAATCAGTTCGGTTTTCACGGAGACTTGAAGCGAATCTCTCAACGGGATGTGCTGCACACAGGCCGCCTCATGTTACAGTTTGTGCGATATTTGAGATATCGCAGTATATTTGGCTCGCAATCAGTCCACTTTGGGTTCAAGTAGAAAATAAAGTTGACTGCGCCTACCTGATGAGCCTCAAGAAGGACGAAACCGGTCGTGGGCTGTCGAAGAGTTTTCAGCAACCTTGTGAGTAGTTTCCTTCATGAAACTAGACTGAAAGAACTGTTCACCGCCCATTGCCACTAGTCACAACATCTACGGTTGTCTCAGTCGTCAAAGACGTCTCGCACAGTTAACCTTGAAGCCTTTAACGTTCGGAACCTGGGACAAGCTGCACAATAGACTGCTGTTGCATATATGCTGGAAGTGTACTGCCTCTCTGAAACGAGGATTTAAGAGTACGGTTGTTGAACTGACAGCCTCATCTGTTATCGCCTCCAGTTACGAACCTTGAATGATCCAGAAGTCGGTGCAGCTCGTTCCGGTGGAGTCGGTATTGTTTTACGCCACCGAACTGGATGGGTGCTAGTTGAAAGTCTGCCCGTTGATGATCACCTCGTGATTCGTCTGGCAACATCTTTGAGAGTACCCTGCAAGCGCGTTGATAATCGCCGTCTGTTCGCTTACGCTGCTTACGCCCCAACAGAGTGTAGCTCTGAAGCACCCAAAGACAGCTTTTAAGACACCTTGAGCACTTTGCTGCGGTGAGCTAACAGCTCAGATATTGTTGTGGTTGACGGGGATATGTGTACGCTAAAAGGCAGACTTAGAGCTTCTGAGGCCCAATGGGGTGGCCGTCCAGGACTGGGGTCGAAACTTACAGCAACAGTGAATGACTACTGTGGTTATGTGCTGACCACAGGCTGTTTATATACAGAAATCAATTCCCAAACAGCCAAAGCCACTTGATCACATGGCGGCTGTAGCACCAAAACCAACCTACAACACGAATAAAACACATCGCCAATGGCCATAGGTGGCGCCGGTGAATAAATGACTGTTTCTCGTTCTGCAACACTCATATGGATTCGGATCACGCGCTTGTTCGGTACCACTGCTCGGTGAGCTTTTCAGGTGCGCGCAGGATGCATACACCCCACTTGACTGTTGAGAACCTCTCGGACCCACATGTGAAGCGGGCCTATCAAAATCGAACAAGGTTTATTCTGATGTTGACTCTTACTAAAAGATACTGTCTTAAACCCTAAAATAATCTGGGCACTCTGTGTGTGGAACGGCGCAACCGACTAGATCTTCATGAATACTTAGGTTACTCAGAGATCCGATAATTAGTCCCCTTTGTCGACACTCCAGTGTCACTCAGCGAAATGTGAGACTTTATTTGAAGAAGGACATCTGCACGAATCGCGAAGCTCGGTGGATCCAGAATGCTAAAGAGTTGAAGAAGGCGAGAAACTCTGGGAATGTGCGTCAAATATCCCAGCTGATATAATGAATAGGCTTAAAGAGGCCTCCGGTGTCCAAAAAAGTCACGTATCGCTTATGTGTGAAAAAGGGGAATGATTGAATCGTTGGACTGAACACTCGCGAAACCATTCAACTGGTCACCTGCAATTTTCCAGTCGAAGTTTTCAATCAGGCAATTCAGTCCTAGATGGTTGGCTTGGAACCATAGATTGCTATGGAAGAAAGCGAATAACTTTCTTTCTCGGAGCTTCACCGAGCTCGCCGGCGAACTTCCATTGTTTCTGTTGACGAATGGAAGAGAAATCCTCAGTCAGTGACTGGATAAGTTATTTGCCTCTATCTGGCCGGAAGAGATCGTCCCAACTAAATGGGGTGGGTCTACCGTAGTGCCCGTTTTTTAAAAAGGGTGCTCTCAGTGAGTGTGACAATCACAGAGGAATTAGATTAACTCTTGTTGTATTTAAACTTTCTGCATCGTATATTTTAGGCCGCATTTCATGGTCACGTGAGGAGAGGACCCGAGAACAGCAAGAGAGATTCCGGTCTGGAAGGGACTGTATGGACCACATCTTCACTCCTCCAAGTATTATATAAACACATGTTTATAGGTGTCTTAAAATCTTGGGCTTTCTTGACATCAAGAGAGTGTTTGATTCTGTCGACCGTTTACTTCTTTCCAACACGCCTGCACAAAAGTTTTAGGCCAAGAAGTTCGTAAATATGCGCTGCTTGAAATGACGTACTTGTGAGTGCGTGAAAATGCACTGGGAGCTCTCCAAAAGATTTTCTGTAAGTAGTGGTGCCTGACAGTGATCCCCACTTTCTCCACTCTTGTTTCACTTTATCACTGATGAAAGCACAAGCCCTATTAGAAAAGGTGACAAGTCATCCAGTCCTTCGGCATGTTCTTCCAACTCACAAATGGCTGCGGGACATGCTTCTGAGGATTCAAGTAGTGTCGGTGAAAGCTGTGGACCGCTATTTGTATCTCGGAATTCGGGTTAGCTCTGATGGTCATGTGGTAGATAAGTCAGTGCACTAATCACAAGGGCCAGAACTGCCTTTCCCACTTGTGGCATCGGAAAAGCATTTCGTTGGGTCCAAAAAGATGCGCATATCCTGCTTTGTTGTTGTACGGTTGCATGATTTGGTCACTTCGGACAGCGGATCTGAGACATTTTCAGGTCTTTGACCATGAATGCCTCAGAACTATAGCTAGAGGTGGTTAAAACCAACGAATAGGGACGAGAGAACATAGAATACTTCCCTCAAAGACTGCATCCAGCACTGTCGGCTCAGAGGGTGGCTGAGGAATGCGTTACACATGTCGAGTTGCCTTTTGCACAAAACGGTGGTTTTGTTCCCAATTCAGAGTGGCGAAAACCTACAAGTGGACAGGATTTGAAGTGGCAAAAAGAAATGAAAGATATTACGGAAAGTTTGGGTGCTTTGGTTCCGTTCGCCATCCAGGGTGGGGTCCATGTAACCCTCTCTGTAGTCAGCTGCAGACACTAAACGATAGGGCTGCTAACCACCGTTAGCATCGCTCGTGGTCTCAGTGTCTATCCGGATCGTCTGACTGAGTGTTGGAGGTATACGCACATGGGATTGTTTTGGTGCATCTTCTTCCTGCACAAATTTCCTGTTTACTTTATTCAAATAAAGTGGCATACTCGTAAAGCAGTGAAGCATCACCGTACTCATCCCATATTGCTGTCACCGATGCCGTTGATGATGATGAGTCAGTGGATAAATTTAATCCACTCAAAAATTCACATATTTTCACTCCGTACCACCTCTCTTTCAAAATGATCAGGTGCTCGCCGTAGTCATACAGTTCATGGGCATTTTGTAGTTGGAGTGAAGACCTCGGTCTCTAGTCTTGTAATGAATAATTCTTTGGTCAGAGAATCAAGTGAAAATGCCTTCCTTCCGTAACTCAGTGGTTAGGAGTACGTTGAAATCCCATCACTGTAGGGTTTCCTCGGCGAAACTCGACAGCCCGATACCTTCACAGCAATTTTTCTGGCGTACTACGAGTCACGTAAATATTCCATTGATTTATCTCATCGACATAAGAGATACTAGCAATACAACTCTGAGGCTCCCAAAAATTTCTAAATTCCTTTAGTTGGTGTTAATTTGGAAACACTCGGAATCATTGAGCAAAGTTCAACCAAATCAACTGAAGTAACTGAGATTTATTCACGGCAGGTCACTTTAGTAGGTCAAAATGAACTGTTACTTCCCCATAGTGTTTGATTTCACATTGTTAGCTGCTCACATATTCGCCATTCTCGAAGCAAAGCTTGGCTGTACAGGTTTGCCAAACGATCCAAAACTAGTTAGGTGCACCACACCCATTTTCGTAGTAAACCTGAGCTCTTTCCTGAAGCCAGATGATACTACTAGGAAGTTGATTGGCTCTAGTCACCGACCAGATAATGTTTGGAAGTTGTGTTCACTGATAAGGTATGAGAGTACATTACAACTATACAGGTATGAGAGTCATTCAAATGTCAGTTATCTCTATTCTGCAGATGACATCGAAATAGCTCAAAAAGGAAGACCTGCTTGTATTCCGACTTGATATCTTGATGAATACATACGGCTCTGGCGCACGGGAAAATTCGCGATTTTGTCCAAAATAACTCAGTGATCTTTGAAAAATGAAATCATTTATGAACACCGGAGTCAGAATGCAAGCTGTTACGTCTAAATGCCTTTCAAACTTGTACCAAATTATCTGACACCCGGGCAGCGACTGTAAACCAGCGTTAATTCTGTTTATACTAAGTAAGATTTATCATTCAAATCTAGTAAACACCTAAGTTTGGCGCAAAGCTTGTGTGTGAGAATACTCTACAATTGTAGGAAATTCGTGCAGTCGGATTCTACTTCTAGGCTGAGGAACGTATTTCACAAGACGTTTGGCTAAGTTAGTCTTGTCAGAAGGATCCAAATGCTTTTCGTAAAGACTTATACTATGTAATATTATATGCATACCACACTATATACTATAATCTAATACCTGTGTGCCGATGCACTCTGAATAGTAGCTCATGTTTCCCTAACTTTAGGTGACAGCTTATCGAATTAAAGTAGTCAGTCACTCCGTTTGAAGTATAGGGTAGTGCATCCCGGATTCATACCAACTGATTTTCGCACCACTTTTTGTACATTAATCCACATTCCCTTTGGCGAACTAAGTGTGGAAAATTGAACAGGTACGATGTTAATGGTGGCGACATTCGTTCCAGCCATCAATTATTCCATCACCGTGCTAGAATATAGGTGCATTTTGAAGAAGGATACGGCGTGTGCCGCCAGAAATATGGCTGTCCGGAAAAACAGAGGGGTGTACAACAATTCGACAGATTATCGTAAGCCTCCTGCCACGTGAATCATGTGACTCGCCCTTCCAGATCAGGAAAACTGCCAAACAGCAGGGCAATCTGGTATGACGACACCAACAGGTTCGACTTCGGTTTTAGCCCTGTTCACCCTGAGGTGAGTAGCTAATGAGTAGGCAGTGGGCAGATTGGATGACGGACAGTTATAGTTAAGGAAAGATGGAAATTGGATGGTTACTTTTGTGCGTTCACCCAAATGACGGACAACGGCACATCTGATAAATCGCACCACACTAAACTCCTTCGGAGAAATAACCCAGAGTGAAATACTCGTTCAAAGGAAATGCTTTCGGAACGGAACTTCGTTCAACACGTTCCTTCATTGAGAAGACATCTGTTGGAACCAAGCAGTAGATCTGTCCTTGTTTCCGAAGTCTTTTTTTTCTCCCATAGGGAAAGCACCAGACTAGTATTGTCCTATATCAATGACTTATATTTGGCCTGACTTGATCGAGGCGAATTGATAGACTGTCTATCATTACAGAATTTTGGACCACGTCGAGCCACACTGGTCAAATGATGGGCTCTAAGTAGAAGTCGTTATGAAACAATATACGAAGACTCAAGTCTATATAGCTCTCGATGGTCACCATGTCGGATGCCTCGCAAACCCAAACTTCGTTCAAATTATGTCTATTTTTTGGTCACTGAGACTATGTGGTGAGCCAGATACAAAAATCGATCATTTGACCGGAACAGATGTCTTTAATCTTCAGAACCAAACGAATTAACGAAAAATGTCCAAAGATGAAGCGACGTCAACTGCAACCCACTGCCACACACAGAGTGCTCTAAAATTCAGAAAACACAGTGCTCCTTTAAAAGCGAGTGACTTGTAAAACGAACGCACAATTCTCTAGCCATTGGTCTCTACGTCAAATCCGTTTCGTGAGCCCCGTTACAGGAAAGGTAAGGCCACAGCTGAACTACTGTGCGCCAACCGAAGCGTTGAAGTTCCGCAGTGTACCGAGTCAGCAATCCATAATGGTTGGTGTATGCGAATTGGAGACTGATGGCTGCACTGTAGGCACCCATGAGTTGCTGTCTACGAAGTAAAATGCAGATTGAGTGCCACACTAGAACTGTTTACCCTCCTTATATCTACCACCATTCTGTTCCTGAGTACTGCATAAGATGGCTGCATCCGGCAGCAATTAAATGGTTAAAAGCAGTCGCCTATGCGAATTACCGAAGCGGTTTTTTTCGATAAAACGTTCCGAATTCGCCCCAACATAGAGGATTTCTGAGAAATCAAATTCGACGAAGTCGACCAATAGGCTAAAGTAGGAAGATTCAGCCACCACAGTTACATATTTATCTTGAAGGTCTCACCCATTACACAAGGCGTCGAATGACCATCATGGAACGAAAATTGATCAAGGTGTAAAATGCGCGTTTGTTATACAGTCTTATGAAAAAGGTAGTGTGGCTGGGAGAATTTACTCTTGCTGTCTCCATATTAAGGTTGTAATCTCTTTCTAAAAGGAGGGTAACGGCGATTAGGCTAAAGTGAACAAAACGGTTGACCGTAGAGAGACGGACGATGTGAATAAATCTCCCTGAAAGCCATCCTTGTATAATATCGACACATATTCACTGAAACATGTTCAAGGTAGATGTAAATGAATACTTTCGAATTCTAGCTACCCAAATGTTTAATCACAGTCTGAGTCATGGAAACGGGCCCTAGTGAGTGTAATGGAGACTGGAACTGGCAAACGATTGCAGGAAGAAAACGTGAGTCAAATTACCCGAATATAATGGATCTTCCATGGTATCATAGGCAAAATTGGAGGTCCACGGCGTATCTGAATAATCTGCATCGGATTTCAAACGTTCATTGCGATTTTCCAACAACCATGGCAAATCTGGTTCCAACAAGGCCGCTCCAAATCTCTTGGATAAATCCTGCCGGTCGAGATAAGCTGAACTGTTGTCAAACAGACAACCAAAAGTCAGTAGGAAGACGCATAATCCATAAAAATAATCTCCATGGCCTAGCATTTCTAGTGTAATCACCTGTCACCGCATCACAAGAACAACTCAAATTGTTTGTAACTTGTACGACTACTTTATCTCTCGGCAATTCGGGAGTGTGTTACAGACCGACTGGATTGTTAGATTCTGTATCGATTTATCGGACGAAGAGAAGGCCGGTTAACCAATCTGCTGGGCTGCCGTGGGCAGTGAACTCATTCGCGTTGATTGGGGGAAGGATGGGAAGAGAGACGGGATGACGGGGACATCGTACTACTATTGAACGACCAGTGTCAGGACAAGATTGGGGACATATTCAGAGTTTTCGCCCACCACCACCACCACATGGTGTGGTTTGAGGTTGCGTATGACGTCCACCGGATTCATGTGGCTAAATTTATATTCAAGTGTGTTTGTGTGTGTGTGTGTGTGTGTGTGAATGGGGAAACAAATCTACTGAGCCCATTCTCTCATTATTTTCGCTAATCATCACATAACGGACCCAGAGTGTTCAAAACATTCCTGTCTCTTTTTCCCATTTTGAGGTTCGTTCGCGTCACGTTCACCAACACTTTCTTCTCTTCTAAATTTCCCTCGAATTCGCTCTGACCACTATGCATCACGGACGTAAATGATACGAATGGTGGATACTTTGTAAGTACTGAGCTGCTTCTGATCTGGGCTTTCTTCTTCCATGGCTAGGTCAGCATATTACGATGAACTGAGGAACACTGAGCGGCTGTCCTGTGTCTGTCATGGTTACCTGGCAGTGCGCGTTTTACGAGAATTTGACGGACCTCTGAACCCCTAACTATTCGTTCTACAGCCGAACATCACTCTTCATTTGTGGGAGACCTTCCAAAATGTCACTTTCAATTTAACAGGATACACAAATTTTCCATATGGTTTAAAACATCTAGGTGGATAGTCCAAGGGTATGCCCGTTTCAGAAAACGAGTGGTCAGAGGTGCTAATATGGAATATGAAGAGCTAAAATAGTTACCACTCGACTTGCTAGACCATTACATGCAATAAGCAATACCTATCACACCGAGGCTTACCAAGGCTTTTGGATATCTGAGTGCATTTTGAAATACTGCTTACAAAATCAGGGGGTACTTCTTTCGTGCCCTGTGGTACAAACCTGGTTTTATTGTAGATTAATTCTAAGTCTTTCAATCCTTTTATCAATCTCAGTTGTGATTTCTTGAATAACATCCCATGTGTCTACCTTACGGTCGGTTATATCTGTCCTAATTACTTAAGTCCATGCCATCGTTTCATACAGTAAAAAGCTGAGAATGGTAATTCCCAAAGTCAGTAACGCTGTTTTATGAGTAAAAACCCATTTTCCCGTAGTAACCAAATAGCAATCATTCGTCAAACTGCGGTCAGTAGAAGTGCAAGAGGACCTATATGGCGTTGACAGTGATGCACATTTCGGCTCTCAATACTCGCCTAACTAGATCAGTAACTCATTGTTAAACCAGCCTTCATCAAACTACCCTCAGTTGTCGTTCGAAGGCTACGAAGCAACCGCAGCATACTTTGACATTCGGACGAATGGAATGGGGATGCACACAGCTGTAGAGAGAACAACTCTTGTCCTGACATTATTTAAGCTCTATGAGTCGCCATTTGATTCTGATTTTTAGCCTATGGATCACTTGCACACATGGTATCAAAATTTCTGTATTCCTGTTAAACATTTGGGTTCTCTCAAGTGAATGATTTGTATAAAGGGGCGATGACTCCCAGTACACTGTGCACGAACAGAAGACAGTTCTTGTCCCGGAGTAGCAACGTGTTTCCAGACAGGCGAGATTACTAATTTTAACCTTGAGACTGACTACCAAACAGAAATATAGGCTATAGTGGCTCCACTGTGTTCGGTCGTTCCAACTAGCTACTCGCTAATTTTAATAAATTATTAGACTACTCGTGAGTAGGCACAAACCCTCCCCTGATAATCGATTGTGAACCTATACCTACGAGGCCATGCGTCTTCGTTTCACCTGACTGTGTGCGAAACTTCAGTATCTCACCATTCCAAATACAGCACTCTTCCCAAGACAATATATGACCATGTAATGTACGGATAATGCAATAAAATCATTTCGTTTGCTGATTTGGAAATAAAGTTGTCGGGGTTGCAAAGAGTCTCATTCACTTTTAACTTACTAAAGAAACTAACACAAAAAATATGAGGTGGCTGAAACTGCAGGTCAACAGACACTTGTATGCTCTTAAAAACCTAAGTGAGAGTAGAGTGCCAGCTGATGTTTTCCATCATCACATACAGCTGAGCATCAAAGTTATGGAACATTTTGGTGCACGTCGGCATAGCGTATACAAACTGGGATCGACCTTTTGCATCCTGTAAATCAGTAAAGTTGTTGCCATATTTCACGGTGTCCTAGGACCAAAGTAGGCCCTAATCGGCGTACTCGTTCCTACAGTATTTAAAAATTTTCTAAGGATGTCTCCTGGGTTGGAGACAGCTGCAAGTTTTAGAATACTGCGACAGCGAGTGTACGGCAGCAAACAGAACCGCATGTATGTCAGGCTGAGACGTCGATCTTATGACAGTGTTGTACACAGAATGTCCATGCGGCCTTTTCGGTCGAACAGCTCGGCCCAAAACTAATTTCCATTTGGAATCATTCTACACACCACATCATTCATCTGACTCAGACTGTCTCAAGCCATCACCTGAAGTGCAGTTAGAACAAGGCGTCGAGATTTTTTTGAATTTCGCCCATCCACAAGAATCTCTCCATTCACCCTCCGACGGCCTCAAGCGAACAGGGTTTCTGACGTTACCTTTTGATGTTACCTTCAATTATCCGCCTCCTAATCAGTGCGACTGTTATCGACGACGATTCGTTAAACTTACTGAAATTAACAATAATTTTTTCAATGTCTGAGAAGATAAATTTCAAATTGTGAACAATGAATTTCCCCGGAATTGAAACGGTGTCTTGTGTAGACCAACGCATTTTCGTACACACAAGGTGGAGCATTGATAAATACTCATTGCTTCCTAATTCATATTTAGAGAAGGTCATTTAAAAAACCATTCCAAGTGTTCAAACTGTACTCTAATTTCATGAATTCTACTTCCTTTATTGGACAAAATGTTGGTAGTGTGAAGCCGGCATATTTTAATTACGAGTTCTCTGCTGAGGGGATTAAGTTCTTGATGGCATACGCAATACCTACTCGCTTTGTAACGAGTTAAAAATATTTACAAGCGAGATACTTATTAAAAATCGGGTCAATTTAGTGATCTTTAGCACGCTTGTTGAAGACTTCCTTCACCCTCAGTGTTTGTAATCGCAACAGCAGATCTACTGTGAACAATGCTTGTCTATTCTTTTGTTTCAGAGTAACGCAACCAATCAGGAATTCATCTCATGGAGTAACGCAACTTCATTAGGGTTGTGATGGTGCAATTTCACTCTTTTTAACCAAGGCGGCTGTTACGTAACATGTGTGAAACACTCGCGCTGAATCAGTCCTATCGAATTCCAAACAGGAGTACAAAGAACATTAATCACGCTCAACTTGCACAGTGAATAAAATTACAAATTTAGACGGCAGTAGCAATACTTTGTCTTGCCTATAATTGCACAAACTTATGGGATGGCGTACTAGTGTGAGTAAAGTTGAGCAATGCGAAAAAATTCAGCTGTTGAAGATATCGTTACCTGGAGTTAGTCCTTGGCATCCAAAGTTTGCGTTTTGCGAGTACTGAGATGTCTAATTAGCCTTCATACACTGTCAAAGCAGGGACAATCATCAGTTTGTAAGTACACACTAGTTTGTGAACACTGAAGACTTGCATGGTACTCTGAGAGCCTCTGCCATACAGAGATATGAAGAAGGCGTTACACCCCATCTACTGCTGGAATTTTTCATAGCGTAACATCTATAAGTATGCTGCGCGAAATCTTCTAATCAAATCCAGTATTTATCCCCGAATAAATACAGACATACCCAATCGGATAAACAAATTTTCGACCAAAGACATGAATGATATTGCGCATATCAATAATAAAAATTTTTGATACTAAATATGCACCAAAGGTAAGAAATCTTTTTAGTATTAAAAGTATAGTAAAACCAATATTATAATGATATTACTTATAACAAAAATCGAGCGCAGGTTGGAAGACACTCAGGACAGATGTGCATAGCTTAGGCATGCAGCAGGTAGCGATATATGCTCATGTTTCTGACTCACTACAATCCTCATAAACTGTCTATACCATAACGCTCCAAATATTCTCAAGAAATCCCAGAAACTCCTGTGACCCTTGTCTTTCCGGGAATGTGGACAATATGGACTTCACTTTCACCGCATAGCACGCAATAGGGGTCACTTGCAGTCCCCACAGACATCTATCAAGTATAGCGTCAGAAACTAATGTGTAAATCAGGTTTGTGTGTGTGACTCGAGGCTGTGCTTGTGGTATTTCATTTATCAAAGCATTCATCCGGTAAGCAAGAACTGTCAGGTCCGAGTCACGTCTCGGGAAGTTAGAATTTTTGTCTATTTTATATACAAATAGCACCATCAGTGACTTGATTCGGAGTTTTTGAACGGTGGGCGTGAGAGGGATTGCGATGTTTCGAACTTCAAACAAGAATAGTTTCATAAAGGAGACCACTCCTAAGGTTACTGAAAACTCTTCGACAACCCACAACCGGTTTCGGCCTTCCTGGGTTCACCAGGTAGGCGCAGTCCCCGAGGTTCCGTCAACCTACTTGAACCCAGATTGAACTGATTTGGGCAAATACACCCATTCGCATATCGACTTGTTTCTCACGTTAGACTCAACTGAAACTCTTCTTTTTGTCTTTCGCTTCATTATCACTCAGTAATTATCACTTCTATTCCTGCCAGCGCAAACAGCACCACCAATGACTTTATTTGTATCGTTTCAGAGGGGTTTGGTAAGCAATCGGTGGGTTTATTGCTGGGCAACGTTTCGCTTTTGACACAAAAGCTTCATCAGGCCAAGCGAGTAAGTAAGTAGGTTGATTGGGTTTTAAGGCAGTCAGGGAACCAATCCGTGAGATTCCTTATGACTAGTGACGTGATCAGTGCTGGGTGTTCAGTCTGATGTCCCTGTTTGTTGATTAGTGCGATGACTAAGCTTTACGATAGATCGGTTAGGGGGGGTTCGTCTTTATGATGAACCCGGATTTTTTCGTCCCTGCTTCTTCAGTCTAGGACACCTTAATGGAAAATTCCTCTTGGGGTCGTTCACAGATTTCGTTCACCTGTGTTCGTCCAAGGGTGCTGGGACAATTAGTTTGGGGATGGGGGTGGGCTGGTTAATTGGATCTAACGCTACTTGGATTTTGTACTTTTAGACCCAGGCGATTTCGCTGATAACTGCACACCGCCTCGTGTCATCTCGGCTGATCTAAGACCGCTCTCCACACGTTTGCAAGTTCTACCCCCTCTATTCTATTCACACTGGGATGCTTGGCGATTTCCACCGCCTCGGCCACCAGTCGCTGTGGTGTGAATCTTAAACCCCGTCTCAGGATGTCCACATTTTCTAAATCTATCCTATGCCCAGTGTCTAGAGCATGCCCTGCCATTGCTGAATCTTTGACTAACGCCTGGTATTCCTCTGCGTTTCTCGGCGGTCTGTTAATGGAACGTTTATGCTCATCGATTCTGGTGCGCAATCCCCTGGCTGTCTGACCTATATAAACCTTCGTACAGTCGTTACATTTTATTTTGTATACACAGTTCCTAGTCCTATCAACCGGAAGGCGATCCTTCAAAAGCACTAACATCGAGCGTAAAGTTTCCCCCTTCTGGAAAGCTACTCTAAAGTTAGCCGTATTCAGTACCCTTCTAATGAATTCAGATGTCCCTGTTTTGTATGGAATGACCGCTGTTCCGATCCACTCCTTGTTGGGCCTTGGTGTTGGCACCAATACCCGTCTCAGTTGCCGCCTAATTGAACCCACCGGGTATCCGCTATCTTGAAGTCGCTTTTTTTTACCTCAAGTTGTGCTGCTCTTCGGTCGACCTCCTCTGTACCAAACCTCTCTAAAACCATGACTTCCCAATCGGTCCCAAACATTTTCCAATTGATTGAAAACTTTATTTGTACTTTGGGAGCGGTAGGGGTAACAGGGATTGTAATGTTTCGGCCTTCAAGGAAGAACATATTTTTTACAGCATTTCTTACATCCACAACAAGACTTGGATCATTATCGCTGTTTGTGTCCTCACTAAAAGACTAATTGAAAACCACGTGTGAAATATTCTGAATAAACTGCCCTCCAGAACTGAGATAATCACCGAAGTTGCGATGACTTCAGTAGCATTCCGTCCAATAAAGCAAATGCATCTGCTATCCAGTAGCTCGCAAGCACTGTTTGGTTCTTTGTTCGTTTAGCGCGTCTGACGGATAAATTCCAAACGTTTGATCTCCAATCTTCATGATACCTTCACTAAGTGATTGAATTTGGAGCCAAAAGTGTAATCTAGCTCGGTGACCACATCGTGAGCCCAGAAAAATTGAAATTTCATTAATTAGGTTAATGACGAGTTAAGTTATGTAAAATGTCGCCCTTGAAGAGCATGCCTACGAAGAATGTTTGAAATCGCCCTCGTTTTGGGACCGCTCTGCCTTGAGGAAAACACCATGTGGGATGCATGAGCATGATAGTTTTTCTTTGCAGACGGGTTAAGAAAGGGAAGTTTTTACTAAGCGACTGACTAGCTAGCCAACTAACTATCTAACTAACTAACCAACTAACTGACTAACTAACTAACTAACCAACTACCCAACTAACCAACTAACCAACTAACTGATTAACTAACTAACTAACTAACTAAGTAAGTAAGTAAGTAAGTAAGTAAGTAAGTAAGTAAGTAAGTAAGTAAGTAAGTAAGTAAGTAAGTAAGTAAGTAAGTAAGTAAGTAAGTAAGTAAGTAAGTAAGTAAGTAAGTAAGTAAGTAACTAAATAAATAAACAAATAGGTAAATAAATAAATGAGCAACTGATAAAGGGCCCGCACAGCACGTAACCATTTGCCTACTTAACCTACTACCATCCTTGGACATTTTTGTGAACACGAAGTTGAATGCTTTTCTTCCAACCTGTGTACGTACAGCATAAACCCCCAAGGACTGATTCATTCAAACCCGTATCAAGAGGACGAAGACATAATGAAGCACCCTGGAGTTAAGAAAAAGTGAGGAATTAATATATTGAAAGTATCTCAGTACAACGAATTCTTGGGGGGTTTTGTCAACGGAATCATGAAGAAGATACCCCAACGGTAGCAACAGTGAGAACAAGCAGCCAGACGGTTAGTTCTACTCTAAATCAAGAATATGTCTGAGTCCAGAGCCAGATTATCGGGTCAAAAACCAATCAGCCTAGCCCATGATCGAATGCTACTTTACGCAACCTGATCTCAAGACCGAGGGCAACTGCAGTAACTGTAACAAGTTGAATGTCAGACAGACTGAGGAGACTGTGCGCGCAAATCAAAGAACCGTTAAATGTGGTGTAACGAAATGTGCCCTAGTTTACTGCCCTGTCGAAACCTGCATAAAGACCAATAATATCATGGGGTGACGGATTCGTTCAACCGACACTTTTAACTAGATTCAATCTATGAACCGCTACGTGCGAAGAACCAATATTCCAACCGGAATACACAAACATAATTGATAGCGGGACGAATAAACCAAGAAATTGGAGACCCTTTGGTGTCACATCAACAAAGTTTATTTAGTGGGACCCAGAGAAGCCAAGGACATGTAAAGTCGAGCACCGACCAATAAACGGGAACAAGGGAGGCCAAGGTCAAAGGGCACGTGGTCACCGACCAATCAGGACACAAGATCACAGACCAACCAAAAAGAACTGCTCAATCGACCGATCAATTGTAATCGAAAATTAGCCCAGGCTGCCGGCAGGCACAAACACATTAATATTCAACGCCCACCCAGCAAACAAATCAGCGGATTATCTACATTATCTGAGCTACCAACATTCTCTTCAATAAAAAAATTAGTTGGATAACTCTCACTAGGTTGCCTCCTAACAGATTAACCAACTTACCAGCACTGCGTTGTTAGGCAACTGAATTAAGGACGTTTGGTGCTAATCAAGACACATTTGTTGATGGTGCGCGATACCGTAACGATGACATTTTGCAGTAGGGTTTTATCACCGGCATCGCCAGAGAATGAAACAGAAGTGCTCCGTGAAACCTGTCTTTTAATCCATGTTTCACGTTAAGTTACAACTGATTATTTCCAACCATACAGCTTATCAACGCAGTTAAGCTTTGCAAGCATCATAAGTGAAATTGGGGGGGGGGAGAGATTGTGACATCATGCCACATTCCAGGATCTCACTTTCAATTCCTTCGGCGAGACGTGCACGTGCACAGTCACTGAAAGCGCTTATGATGGAATTTCACCGAAACTAACTAATCAGAAGGCTCAAACCAAACAGTAACTTATGCTTCTATAAAATACGAAATGGTGGATGTGTATACCTATAGATAGATAGATAGATAGATAGATAAACAGATAGATAGATAGATAGATAGATAGATAGATAGATAGATAGATAGATAGATAGATAGATAGATAGATAGATAGATAGATAGATAGATAGATAGATAGATAGATAGATAGATAGATAGATAGATAGATAGATAGATAGATAGATAGATAGATAGATAGATAGATAGATAGATAGATAGATAGATAGATAGATAGATAGATAGATAGATAGATAGATAGATAGATAGATAGATAGATAGATAGATAGATAGATAGATAGATAGATAGATAGATAGATAATAGATTAGATAGATAGATAGATAGATAGATAGATAGATAGATAGATAGATAGATAGATAGATAGATAGATAGATAGATAGATAGATGATAGATAGATAGATAGACAGATGTATTATTTATACCCGCTCCTGTCTTTTATGTAATATACTGGCGTACCTAAAGAAGCATTGTGTAAAGTGCATTACAAAAAACCAATTATACGTACTTCTTTAATTAGGGTCTCGACATCATCGCATTTGACGAATCTACTGAAATTTAAATGAACTCGAATGCATACGTCTGCCAAGGTGCTGTCTGCACTGCTAGACAAACCTGGTATTTGGACGGACAATTGCATGAGGTGTTGAATCTGAAATGACAAATGGACAAACTAGAAGGTACCCCTGAGTATGAGACGCTTGACGGTGGTTTTTCGATTTCACCTGATGAACTCTTCGTAACTTATTGTGAAATAACGTGAATTTCGAGAGGTTCACTCAAAATTATTCCATAGATATGTGGTGAGTTTTATGTTAGCAGATAACCGCACGTATGAATTTGGACTCATTGGCCACCCTGGTGTCCAAGTGATTTGAGTAGAATATTTCAGTAAACAGGTACTGATTAGATATCTATACAGGGAAGTCCAATGTTGTATGTTTGTGAAGATATTTCCGTTGAGACTGAGAGATACCGTGGATGAAAAATCCGAGCTCGGATGACGAGACACATCGTTGACTAGACGTCTACGAGAAGGTGAGTAGGCAGAAATTTCACTGCCACAAATTCCATCGCATCAAATTTAAGTAGTTGATATCTTTCAGTGGCTACAGTCATGTGCATTTAGCTCTGACTGGAAGTAGGATGCAACATTAAGCACTCTAAAAATTTAGCGTTTTCGCACATTCAGAGAGTTGGACGGAACAGATCCCATACATTATAAAAACGTTATGAGTTTCAAAATTACTACTGACAGATATGCGTTATGTAAACGCTGAATGCACACAGTTATAGCTTAAAAAGGTCCTCATTTCCCGTGACAGTCAGTGCAGACTGTGCGAATCACAGTGCGCACATGCAAGGAATCAGTGGAATTCGCTAACGGCGGCTGTCGATTGTGCATCGGTGTATGTGGAGTTTTCGATTGAAAACAATATTTAAGGTGTTTATTCGCACGTCACTCGGTTTGTTCATTAGACGCTCAGTGAACGTCAGAACATGAAACGTAGACAGTGCACGGTAAGTCAACAAAATAATATTTATATGGTTGCGTTTTTCAAGTAGACAATTACACAGTTGCCCTGATTAGGTCACAAGTATCCTTGTGCTCTGCTCAACTCGTCGGGACAATTCAAATCACCCTCTTTTTAGTTCAGGCTTACATTGGCTGTTGGGTTGATGAGTTGATGTGTTAGAAGACCTATTCACCCAGGTTCGCTTCCGTAGTTGGGTCTACCCACTGATCTGGTCTATTCAGTCACATCATACTCAAGATGGGGGTGCTGAGATTGAGCGTATTTGCCCAGATTGACTGAGCCACAGACTGCGGGTAAGCATGCCACGACAAACGACCGACTCTCATCGTGCTGTCCTTTATGCTGGCACCAAAACGGTGGTGTAAGTTCAAAGCAAACATGTCCTCGTACCACCTCATTTAACCCGAAATCGGGACCAACGAACTGGTGACGTTCCAAACAATCTAAGTGCACTTTGTCTAGATATTCTGATATCTTCTCAAGTTTCAGCCTCCATGGGCCACGTCATAACAGCTGGAATAGTGCCGTGAACTTCACTTGATTTCGATATCCACAAACCACTCTGTAAAAGTCGTTTGTAAACTTACCTTCATGCACTTACGGAGGTAAGCTCAGACAGCTTCGGCTGTTTGGCGCGCTTAATTTCAGCCATAGCTAGTAGGTGGGTAGTAGGTTTTGAACAGGAAAACCTATGCCAAAATTATGCCCTGTTGTCCTTCAAGGAAACCATAGATATATGAGGGGTTTGCGTAAAGTACAAGTGACAGTGTGAAAGCTTGCTAGAAAATAACTTGCCAACTCATCCCCACACTGAGATCCGTCATATTTACTTGAGTTGTGACATTTAAACCGGTTAAAAGGTTGAGCTAGGGGCACAGCCGATCCCAGTATGCAGTTTGCACGTAAATAACTCATCATTCATAATAGGCTACTCATAAGGTTGCTAGAAACTCTGAATGACAGCCCACGACCGGCAATGAGGTGATTAAGGCGTGGCAATGATGAATTGATCTGCACGCCACAGAGCTACATTCACTTCGAAACAACAGAATTATATGCGTAACACACAATATATCGGAATAAGACGGTTAAATCATCGAGGCACCGTACGTCACCTTTTTTTTTTTTTCGCTGAGTCACCAACAGAATTATATGCGTAACACACAATATATCGGAATAAGACGGTCAAATCATCGAGGCACCGTACGTCACCTTGTTCTATGTTTCAGCTGAGTCACCTGTAATCCACTATACAACTGTTATGCGTTCCGACTAATGACACCAAATGATCACATAAACTGATCCAGCTATGATCACGAAGCTCTGGTCGATGTATTTGTTGTAATGTTAACACATATTACGGGTTGCTTTTGAAGAAAAACTACGAAGCGGTTAGTATTGGCCAGGGGAATTAAGCATTTCCATTGTAGCCTTCCTTCTTGATGAGTAAATCCTACTTGCAGAAAACTGATACGAGTATGAGAATGCGCTTTCAAGCAACAGAGCAAACCCATCATGCTGCTAAGATGCTTTCCAAGAGAAATTTACTGGTATTCTGACTACGATTACCAACCTAAGGAAATTGGCGGAATTAGCAACCGTGGTTTGCAAGGCGGTTCGCTTTCCAATTCTGAAGTTCATACTACTTATATTGCTGCTGAGTAGCTGGCCCATCCAGAAAGTCACTCAATGGTTAGGATAGTTTACCGGAACGACCATCAGACCTATAGGGGAACTTACTAAATGCGATCTCCCGGGACTGTAGGCCACATGATGTGGCTGTATTCCATGAACTCTAGCTAGCTGGCATGACTAGTCAGGTAACATAAACTTTGAATATTTAATTTTATGAGTTATCTATGCTTGCCTCTTAGCGTTCGAGTCCTGAGAGAATGTGCGCAGTTATGGAGACTCTAGGGCTCTCTGAAGTAACCAGACAACGTGGAGATTCTAATATGCGGATATGGGTGGATTCAGGTTTGTACTGTACGAACACTTCAAAATACGCCGTTGGTTTGAATGGCTCCAAAAACCACAGTGGTCCTCAATCAGTGGGGACGGACTTGTTCTACGTAATTTCCGCTGATTGGAAAGAAGTCTTAATTTGAGAGACTGTCCAAACGCTAAGCTCCAGATAGCAAATGACCGGTTGCCCTAGAAGCTATCTTCGCGTAAAGGGCGCTATCTCCAAGAGAGCGAATTCCTTGGTAATCTAATCATGACATAGGAAGTTTAGTTTTCACACTGTTATCATATGGGCTGACGAGACGCAAAGCTAATGTTTGAAACCAGTTAAACCTCGCCTGAATTTTTGAAAGTATCTGGATCTTGGATGTGCGTAAACCCTGAAAATCCTACTTGAGTTACTCGATTACAATGAAGAACGAGTACCCAAGACTTGCCTGCAATGAACCGTAGTGGAAGAATTGGCGTTGGTTGGAATTCGGGTTCAACTTCACATCCACCAATGAGTATCCAGGGTGCACGCGCATGACACGCGCACGATCCACAAAAATAGCTTCGGTTAACGGCAAGTGACTAGCTCTGTTTCTTCATTACTTTTCTGCGACACCGTAAATCTCACATTACTGACCTTCAGCGGCTTAAGTGACGCTCAGCCATATTTTGAGAAGCTTTTCCACCGAATCGGATGAACTTTAATCCACCATCGAGTGGCGAAAAAACCCCGATTCTCATCACGTGGTCGCCTAAGGACCTGGACTAATTAGATGCACTACCGCCTTGGAGGGCTTGAACCTACAATACTTGGAACCAATTGTAGTGCGCGCTGACCAGAAAAACTGGACTGACTATTGCTGACCCAATTTTGAGTGGTGGATCACATGATTTGTTCTATTGCACAAAGGTCATGGTACAACTTTTGTTGCTGGAATTTAGGCTTTAAAACCCAGTGGGCATTATCAGGAATGCGTAGATGAGATAAACGGTAGACATAAACTTCAAGTTTCGTAATTTGGTACACTAAATACAAAGAAAGATTGTTATACCGGGAAAATGTTGATCTTGTGGAAATGTCTCAAGGCGAACGTAGAACGTTTTTAGTATTTTTTTTTCAGAAGTTTGTAGGTGCTTATCCATTGAACAGCGAAATTCTTGGGCCCGAGATAACTTGGTCGTTTTTGAATGGATCCGTGTTCGGAACCAACATACTAGATGGTGATGCTCGATCTGTTTTTTTATTAATTAAGCTACACATCTCTTTCCTTTTTAATGACTGTGAACAGCTATTTTATTTCGACATCCGTGGCCGAGCTGAGGCAATTAGGATGATGCTCCACGCCAACGATGTTCCTTTTGAGGATGTTCGCTTCCATAGGGAGCAATGGCTTGAACGCAAACACGAGTTTCCAGGTGGTAAATTGCCGCTTCTCCAAGTGCGAGAGGAGGGATCACAAGAGAAAAAAACGTATAGGGAGAGCATGGCGATTGCCAGAGTGCTCGCAAGGCACTACAATATGATGGGGGATTAGAGGAATATGTTCGCTTCCATAGGGAGCAATGGCTTGAACGCAAACACGAGTTTCCAGGTGGTAAATTGCCGCTTCTCCAAGTGCGAGAGGAGGGATCACAAGAGAAAAAAACGTATAGGGAGAGCATGGCGATTGCCAGAGTGCTCGCAAGGCACTACAATATGATGGGGGATTCTGAAGAGGAATATTACAGGATTGAAAGAATGATGGGAGAGGTAAGTCGATCGGATAGAAGTTTAATATAAAGTCATCGTTACCGAATAACGCAAAGATTGTTCGGCTACTGTTTGAAATTTAAGTAGCATGGTTTCGCCGTTTGTCAGAAATCTCTCTCCAAAAGGCATCTCCAAGAGCAGTGAGATCTTGCCGACCCATAAATCTCCCAGTTTTGTTCCATCACGTGGAGTTGCGTGCTGTATTCCACTGACATCTGCGATTGACAGTATTCTGAATTGTACCATGCATACATCGTTCCAAATGTGCCCGGTAAACGACTTGGTTATTATACTCATTGTCCATGATACTTGTGGTTCCAGCATGGCGCTACAAGGAAAAAGCCATTTAAGATTGCCTACTGCATATCATGTGGTTCCCAATTGACTCTCGTTTGGGGGTAAGCGTCAATGAAAATTAGATGCCCTTGTCTTCTGGTTCGGGAGTGAGCTTGAGGCACACTGTGGGTGTACAGCTACGACTAACCCTGATCGAGACGCGAGATGCGGCCAGGATACCCAAACTTGAACGGGAAGGGTCAAGAAGCCCGGGGATTGGTTCAAACCACAGATCCTCTAACCGGTAGTTTCGCAACTTAGCCGCTGAGCGCGCTCGAGCTGGACGTGGCGTCATTGTAAAAAGATTACCAGGTTGGTTGTTTTGATATTGACACCTCCATACATGAAGGCAGCAACTCTGAGACGACGGCATATCTCGAAATTCAGCGCACATTGAGCGTACTTACTTGCTGGATTGTATGTCTGCTCATAAAAAGACTCATCAAGGTGGGCCATTCTCTAAACAAACCAGAAATGTACAGGCAAGCGTGCATAATTCCACAGTTTTATTATTTGCAGCAAAAGCGAATCGTAGCATGATTATTGCCTGTGAACACAATAGGGATCTGTTTCCGCAATTATTATTTATTCCCAAGTAATGTCCAATGTACAAAGTAGAACGTGAAAACGCATGCCTTCATCAAAATTCTAACTGAAGATAACTCAGCTTCTGAGATGGTAATCGGAAGGTTCAGGTGTCTTATTAATATGATATACAAGGCTGGTAGTTTGTGCTTGATTTCGCTATTCAGGCACGCTATCAGGATCTGGATGAAGTGGCATTAACAACTGTACTCATTCGTTTGGTCTCGTCAAACGTTGCTTTTAGTAAGAAGGGCTTGTTGAACACAATTCGGTGTGTCTTCAAGTGGAGCTCAGAAGAGTTCTGGTGCAAGTGCAGTCGCGTCACATCTGGCAGTAACCACTCATACTACGGACAAGGAGGACGCATGTAAAGCCATGCGCTGGATACTTCCGAACCGATGATGACTGATGCGATTTAAAACCCGATCGATAGCAGATGTGCACGACCAGCAATTCTGGGTTAAAAGAAGGTTGTGTCATTTCTGTACCTAAGTTGGCTTGACCACTATTGATGTCACTCATTTGAGTCGATGACCCAGGGGACTATATGCATTCCTTCCTGTGTATGTTTGAACTTTGTGTTACGCTTGCGCGCGTGTTTTCTGATTAGTTTGAAATTTGTGATTTATAGGTCAGGAGGAGCAATCGCAGGAAATAAGCCCTATTCTCCTCACATCAACTCAATAAATTGCTTGTCACAACCACGTGAGCTTACCCACTGCCACGCTGGGTAGTTTTGCCCTTTCCAAAAAAAACAAATGTGTGAATAGTGGTGGAGTAAGATGAAAAATGAGAGGCTTCAGACGCGTCCGGCACCATCGAATTTGAGATGTAACAAACTATGCATAATCAACTTATCAGAGGCGAACTGGATACAAACTGCACCAGACAGGGAAACCAAAAGAAACCCTCTGACTGTGCCGTCAAAGTGCTTTTTTGAGAAACTTTTTGCGGCATATGGCTTAGCGGAAATGTATGCACGCTTGGAACATGCTACTAGACAGAGCTGTATTGGGAGCAGCATAGGTTATTGGTCACATTTCTGGCTGTAATGGGTTGGCGAGAAATTCCACGATCTGCTACTGGGGCGCGTGCCAACCAGTAGCCACTGAAGAGCATACAACTTGGTGAAAAGCATTGAAGAACCAAACAGCTGGCATTTGTAATATCCTTTAGTTCTTGTGTGTCGTTACAGCGATAAGGAAACTAACTATTTTCGGGTGGAACCTTCATTCAAACACTGCCTTGAGCAATGAATCCGCGTCAATGGTGTTGCATGGGGCTTTCAACGGAGATGGACCCATGCGAAGCCACTAAAATGCATTTTAATTACACCACTGGCCGACTTTTCACTCTTTATGACCAGAACGGATAGAACGGCAGGTGAAACTCGAAAGGGCCGCAAGCGATATAGTGAGGAAATCGAGAAACTTTGATTAGTTGCCCCACAGTACTTAAACAACCGGATACAGTAAAATTAAATTCATTTGTTTGCAGTGTGCCGATTTGGATAAGGAGTTTGTCAACGTATTTTTCGCGCCTGAATGTCAAAAGAAAGAAGTACTTGAAAAAGCAATGACCGGAGAGGTGCCGAGACTACTAAACGTGAGTTGCAACCTGAAGTAACATTTGAAATACTTACGAGATTCGCGTACTGGTGTCACTAAAATTCGGGTACATTTTTTTGCAGCTTATTTGCGAATCCCTTTCTGAATCTGGCGGCAAGTTTGTCGCTGGTAACAAAGTAACTCTTGGAGACCTATGCCTTATGGCATCCATGGAAAATGTACGGAGAGCTGACCCTCAGCTTTTGAAAACGAAATATCCGACATTATTGGCCCTCGAATCGGAGGTGTGCAAGGTTCTGCCGAAACTTGCGGACTATATCAAAACACGACCAGAAACCCCCCTGTGAAGCAGACTGTAACGACCATTAGCATCCCATGTAGTTAACACTAAGCTTTTCGTTCCAGTTCGACGTTAAATAAAGCAGTTTCAAAGATGGTTTTCTTGAACATACAAGGGCGAAAGAACGTCGCCAATAAAGAAAGCATGCTAGCTTCAAGATAGAAATCTCGATAGCAAAGTTGCTTTTATCGAGGGAGAATAATACACGGAATTTGACTGACGGGCGCTTTGCGGGTTGGATGGCGTTGTATACCGTGGAAGCACATAATGGTGTGACCACAGTTTATAACTGATTAGGATCTATCTTGAAGAGCATTGCTGACGGCATCGTACATCTGATGTCCCATCAAATGAGCTGACGGTGTTGTCGGTCCATTTCGTTTCAGGGATGTGATGGCAGGTGGCCTTCTGCCATCATCCAACTGTGACAACCTGCCCGGTATGCGCGCATGTTGGAGTCTCATAGCCTCAGTCAACAAGCCTTCTGGCATGCATCTACCGCATATTCTTCACTCAAAGTTCCACGGCTTTCGACTGAATGATTTTGATTCCATGGGAACTGGATCCTATTGTAGTGTAACGGTTTGTTTGTCTCCGTGACCCATTGCGATAAACTGCGACATATCCGTGCGGCACTCGCAGAGTCCGTCATAACATGGTGGTCAGCGGTTACAGGTCTGATCAACACGCTCTCCAAGAAGAAGATTGGAACATGTATGACGATTTCCTCTCCAAAATGTCAGTGCACTTCAATTTCATGCGATACTCTGCTACTTTGTGGTCTAGCTCTGGGCTTCTTGTCAGTACCCACCATACCGGCAATTATAACCACATATACTAATGCCACATCGTCACATGGTGCCATCGGCCGTGTCACACTGCTTGCTGCACTAAGCAAGGTGGGTTAACAATAACGGGTTAATTCTGGTGCCACCTTTCGATCTCTGCGGCAGAGAAGAATCAGTGTGCGAACACCGAGGTATCCTGTCAGTGATGCTGTTGATATGCTTCATGGAGGTTTCCGTTATTTAGACTTTCGTTTCTAGCCTGCATGTAAACAGAAGCAGGCCCAATATAGATCTCGACTGAAAGTTCCTGCAAACGATAGGAAATAGTTTTGCTCATAAGTGGGTATAAAGCATTCAGCTCAGGAAGACTCTGATGATTTATTTGACTCAAATGTGCGTTCTGGGGCGTCAAAGACTAAAGAAACATCCAACGTCATGAGTTGGAAACGGAGGTTCATATTACCTGTTGTCAAACATTTTTCGAACCTGCAGTCCAATAATGCGTGACATACAGTGCATTCAATTAGCCTGAATCAACTCGAATGAATTCATGGACAGCTTTTTAATGCAAATAGATATAAAATTGTTTCCAAAAGACTTTCACTCCACATCAACTCTTGTTCTGCAACAAAAGATGCCCGCCACTCTACTGCCAGTCGGAGATAGATTCGAAAATTCGTCAGCACTTCATTCTGTCCACTTCCTTCTTCAGTCCGATGCTGACGAACGATCACTGACCGCACGGCTTGGAAACTGCAAGGAAATACCCCCAATACTGCCGAGCCACGAGTGGAACTCCAGAAAGCTTTGGCATTCAGATCAATAATGCGGATACATGATCATCCATTGTGTCTTCTATATAAGGTTTGCGCACGAATCCTACTTCTGACTGTAACTACAGTCACAATTCTGAATACTTTTTGCGTCAGCTGCGATGTTTCCTCGAAGATGCACTCAGGCCTTATCCTTCGAAGGTTGACTGAACACAGAGAGAGGCAGATCCGTGAAAACCAAGCTGGGTTCCGTCCTGCAAGAGGTTGCATCGATCATATCTTCACCCTCTGACAGATTCTGGAACAGCGACACTGCTTCAAGCAACCAACAATGGTTGTTTTTCTTGATCTGAAAGCTGCCTTTGACTCTGTGGACCGCCAAGCACTATGGCAGTGTCTGTGGAGCAAAGGTGTCCCCCATAAATTCTTGACGCTCATTAAGGCGCTGTGCGCCAAATCCCGCAGCCGTGTAAAAATCTATGGGAAGCTCTCTCCTGAGTCCACCACATCTAGTGTTGTCAGACAGGGCTGTCCTCTTTCCCCTTTCCTCTTTAACTTCGTCATTGATACGATCATGGAAGACTCACTACCAGCCTCTAATGCCTGTGGGGTCGAAGTGCTCCCTGGGCCTCCGCTCACAGATATCGAGTACGCAGACGACATAGCTCTTCTGGGATCTGATCCCGTGGTAATGCAAACAATATTAAATAATCTAAATAATTCTGCCTCGCGGTTCGGCATGCGCTTCACACCTGCAAAGTGTAAAGTGCTACCGCAAGATTGGGTGGGCTCAAACCCTAGCCTCATGCTTGCGGATGAACTGATTGAGGTGGTAGACAAATTTGTTTACCTGGGCAGCTGTATCAGTCCCGGTGGTCTGGCGACAGATGAAATTTCCATCCGGATTGCGAAGGCCAGTGCAGCTTTTGCGAACCTACGTCACCTGTGGCGTAGGCGTGATGTCAGCTTCTCTGTCATGGGTCGAGTTTACAATGCTACGGTGCGCTCCATATTACTATACGGATCAGAAACATGGCTGCTACGTGCTGAGGACGTCAGAAGACTTTCAGTGTTTGACCATCGTTGCCGTCGGAGCATTGCCCGAATCTGGTGGGAACACCGGATCAACAATTCTGAAGTACATCGAATGGTATTCGGGTGAAATAACTCACTTTCGGTAGATGAACTGATGACACTGCATAGGTTGCGCTGGCTTGGCCACGTGCTGCGTATGCCAGTTGACCGACTTCCTCGAGGGGCTCCTTCCGCACAACCACGTGAAGGGTGGAATAGAGCCAGGGACGGTCAAACAATGACGTGGCAGGGAAGTATGAAAGCCATTGCCAACCATGACCAGCTGCGCTGGTCACTGCCGTCTTTCTGGATGGGGACCCCGAGACGGGCCACATCAATGGCTAGAGACATTGTCAGATATGGCCCAGTCGCGCCCTCAATGGCGCTCGTGCATCCAAACTATTGCCTTCAATGCATAGTTCCTTTTCCAACCCCCCCACCTGACAGCCTACTGACAGTGCTGGATTTATGCACAATTTATCAGCTCCCGCTTGCAATGCGCAGCTGCTTCCCTCTCCCCCAATCATCAGTGAACGAAACTGCGGCAGAGTCGGGGGAACCCCTTTCGTTATCGGCTTTTATGTGCATCGTGTTGATCAATCAGTGTGGATTTGTTTGTCTACGTTTGTTTTTCTACGTGTATGATTCATACAGGTGTACCAAAATGACGGGATTTCATAAAAGAAATGGGTTCGCTATGCTCCACAGAACCAATGTGTAATTTGAAACTGACCTGATCATCGCCATTTTGTGAGTAATATCCCACAGAAATATGAGAAAATAGGATCTCAGGTGCACAAGATTCAGGTGATTGAATAAGTTATGTCCAAAATATCGCGGCGTCCTAAACAAACCGGAAATATTGACACCAATACTTTCCAGCGTATTCGCCTTACCAGTACAATCCCTGGACTTTATGGTCTCCTAAACGTGCAGAGACACGACCCATCTCATAGGCCCATCCTCAACACATCTAAATAACTATTCCATGCACTGAGTAAATAGATTTTCAGTCTGTTAGAAGCGGTCAGAGGACAACTGTGGGCCAAGTGCGAGGCACTTTTGATTTCGTCCATCAGTTTGGAGGTCCGCATGTTGACAAGTGTACTATTTTCCCCCTGAATTTCAAGTCATTGTTTACTAACGTGCCACTCAGTGAGACGACCATGGACTACAGTTGTGGCTTGATTGAGTGCAACGGCATGGACATTCCAATTTCGGATCTTAAGGAAGTGGGCTACTCCTTACATTCAGTTCTCAGTTGACTTTTAATAGTGAATTTATGTGCAGGATAGGGTTGCAATAGGGTTCCTTTAGGTCCAGTTCTGGCAGATTTTTTCCTGAGCAAACTCGGGACTCAAAAAATAAACGCGCTTATTGGACAGTACACAGTGTATTGCCCCTATATGGACATCTTTGTAACTTCTCACGTACTAACATCAAGGTTACTATCAAGCCACAAGAGAACGGACGGTTACGTTTTCTCCATATCAGGATGGAACAACACAGCGCAATATAGTCCTCAGAAATCGAACCTGGAAAGGCCAGTATAGCACTTTGATAGCTGTGCTTTGTCACAACAGAAATGCAATATTATTAGAGGTCTGGCTGAGATATGTTCACCAGACTGTTCACAACTGGATTTTTTGGAATGCTCAGTCCGGCGGAACGGATAATCTAAATGGTTCGTACTGAAGTGTACAAAATCTGTGAAGTCCCAACCCGAACAGACTTCAGTTGGGAAGAAATCCATCTACATCAGGCTCCCATTCACTGGCGTTTCACTTGCTTGGCTAGTTTAGAAATTCTGTTGATAAGGCATAAATGGCTGCTTACCTGTGCTTGAACTTCAATTCCAGCCCGAGTTCCATTTGAAGCACTTTCTACCATCAGCCTCATTATGCACTCATTTTTATGCAGCCCGAGTTCCAGTTGAAGCACTTTCTACTATCAGCCTCATTATGGCGGTGCGCAGCATCATGCGTCAGTTGTACAAGGCTTTTGTAGGACAAAATACGCGAACACAATCTCATGTCTCCGAAGATTAGCTGGAAGAAACCGAGTTCAAGTGCAACTTCATCAAACTTGGGCGGATCCAGTCATGGTGTCGACAAAGATATCTTACACTGGGTACCTTTGAGCAAATCACGGTTTGTGAAAACCAGAATCCTATCGATCGCGGAGGTGATTGGAATCCGATTTCTGAACCCATTACTTTGCTTCCAGAAGAAACTTGTGCGACCCCTGAACCTGAGCTAGCTTGCGAAAAATTCTGTCCCACAAACTTGTCTGACATTGAAACCACCCACGTGACTCCGTTTACCTATCTTCCGACCTCCTTCCTCTTATTATTCTTTTTCTTCCGTTAAATTTTCATTTATCACCGGTTCTCACATAACCTTCCACGTAATCTCTAGTACCATATGAATTCCTGTCTTATTGGTTGAGGGAATGACCA